GCAGCCAAACCGTAGGCGGGACCATTCGATTTGCCGGCTACGGGTCGGTGAGCGGAACTCCCGGGTTCCCTGGGGCCCGCCCACCTGGATTGTCCGCCACGACGACCTTCTGCAGGCCGTTGAGGCGGCCCATGTTGACGGGCACGGCGCCGCTGAGGTTCCACCCTGCCATGTGCAGCTCCGCGACCTCCAGCGCCGACTCCACGTCTCCGCACCGGTAGGGCGCCTCCATCTCCGCCCACAAGCCCAGACAGCACTTGACGCCCAGCCACAGGCAGTACCCCACGCCCGCCGTGCCAAAGGGAACCGTGGGCAGCAGGGTGGCAGATGACGTGGCATCAGGAGTTGCATTCAGACCAAGGTAGATCCTCAGATCGGCGAGCCTGCCGGGCTCGAGGGCAGAGACGTTCAGGGCAGGCACCCCCGATTGGGTCCAGCCGTTGCCGGACAGGGCCTCGAAGATGTAGAGCAGGGCGCGGCGGGAGGTGGCGCGCTCCTTGGCCAGGAGCGCGGCCTGGAAAACCGCTTCGTCCGTGGCGGCCGCTCGGAGAGGTATGTCGGCGCCGGTCAGGGCGCAGAGGAGCGCCGCGGCGAGGAGGCGGGCTGGGAAGATGGGCATCCGGGCGGGAGTCACGGCCGACCCGCGGTTCAGCGGCGGTGCCCCCCGTCGGCGCCGCGGCCGGAGGCCGGGGAGGGCGTTGGGGAAGGCGGTGGATCGGCGGAGGGCTTCGCGGCCCCGCCGGTCATTTTGGAGTCCCGTCCCAGCCGCGAGGCGCTCCGGCCGAATCCTGACGGCCGGTCGTATGGGCGCGGGTGCGGGCTGCGGTGGCGTGTCGTAACGATGCGGCGAAGTCAGGCTGGGGTCGGTTAAGGGCAGCTGCGGCCTGCCAGCTGACTGGGCAGTTTTGCATTGAGTTGGGATCCCTATATATGTTTATACAAAGTTTTGGACTTTCCAAGTCATGCCCCATGCATGGTATCTCCCGGGTGCTTGTCCGGCTTGTCCTCAGCCAGTGAAGGCAACCAATGTATGATAGCCCGGACCCACACATCTCTCACAGAAACTAAATCCGGTGGGCAGTGACCAGCGATCCAGATTTCGGCCGAGTCGGCCATGCTGGGCACGAGGGTTTGGCGGCAATGCGATGCCGACACCACCTGCGCACCCTTGTAGGTTGCGGCTGCAAGGGTGTACCACATTATTTTGAAAATGCCCGACAGGCTTCCAGCTTCCGGTTATGGGCTAGAGATGAAGGCATGAGCGACTGGCACCTGTACCTGCGGAGACTTCTGTTTGTACGATATTTTGGCTTCGCGGATTTCGGCGCCCTGACACGGTTCGTATCCGCGATGCGAACGCCGAGTTCCGGAAATCGGCGAGAACCAAGCCCTGGTGCTGGTGGTTTGTCTGGCGCCCCAGTCATAGACACAGATTTACCAGGGATTTTGCGCACGGCCATCCTTCGACAGAATGCAAAACGCTGGACTAGGAAGTAAAAAACACAAACTCTTGTACCAGACCCCTCCCAGAGACGGCGTTCTGTGGATATGGGGTTTTCGAAATGACGCATGATCCCATGTGGTTTTTCACCCAATTTTAACGCGGCTTTCATGAAGAGTTTATTATTCTTCAGTACCAGCCCTCAGCGAACACGCGCTGTTCTGCTCATTCCTGGTACTCTTACTGATGTGCCGCCATTGCCTCCTAAAGCAATGTGATGTTGAATTTCGAGGGCGCTTGATCTCGCCCTGATTGTGAGAGGTTACATAGCGTGGCGCCCACACTAGGGCCAGCGACACACCCGAATTCACGAAATCGCAATGTCCAGACAATAACGGTTTGTTACAATAGTGCACCTCGCGAGGACGATGTCCAGATCAACACCGCCGTCAATTCGCAACCAAGGACGAGTGACGCACCCTGCTTATAAACGTGTGTTCCCCATTCCCACCAAGGTTCCCCCAATCGTGCCGGTCCCGAGAAAGACAATTCGCGCATCGCACCACCCCACTTTATGTCCCCCCCCAACCCAAATCGCCCCCTTCATTTTCAACCTGCTCCAGACGACACCTCCTTGGGCCGCCCAGGGCGCCCACACGACGCCCACGACGCCTTTGTTCCGACGGCCACAGACCGGGCCACGCGCCTCTCCCCACCACCAGGCCTCACAATCAAACCCCCAATCCGCCAATCCGGGGCGCCAACATCCGATCAGGTCCACGTCCTGGCGCACCCCCGGCCTTCACCTTCACCGCATCTTCTGGATGGCGTGCCGCTGGCCAGGGCCCCCCGCCCCCGATCGCCGCCGGTGCTCGGCGAGCCATGCCCTTGGCGACGTCGACCCCGCCCTCACGCCATCCTCCGCATCCTCCTCGCCGACTCTCTCTCCGCACTTCCTCTTGACCGCCGGATCCGCACCTGGGCCCCCCACCAGGGCCGCCAAGCCCCCGCCGGGCCGCTCGCCTTGCATCGGCGTCCCCTGCCCCCGGTCCTCTGCGTCGGGGAATGAGCAGATCGCCCCGAACGCCCCGTCCCCGGATCGCCACAGCTCGAGGATGCCGCACGCCATTGGATCCATGGCGCGCCTCTTCCGGCGGGGCGCGGGCGGGCATTCCGACGGCGGGGTGGACATGATCTGCCCCGGCGGCGTTCGAGGCGACTCGGAGGGGTCCAGCGTGGACGCGCATCCCGCCGAATCGACGGCCAGCAGGGGCAGGACATGATTGGGCCACGCCTTGCCGGCGCCAACGGCATCCGTGGGGCGACCCGATCGCGCCTCCGTGCCGCTGGCCGCCCTCCCCCCCTCCTTGCGATCGTCGGCGCCCGCCCGGCGCCCCGCCGTCATGCCTCCCCGTCCTCCGGGCTTGGATGTTCTCGCGGGCGCCGAAGCACCGTGCGGGCGGAGCAGATCAGCCGCGACGAAGATATTCTGCGAGGCGAGCCCGGGCGATTCGAAGCGAGGGTGTGGCCGAGTGCCCTGCCGACCGTGGCTCGGCGCGGCGTAATATATCCTCGCGCCGGACGCGTCAACAGAACGGAACTTTCTGTGTCTTGGACCCGGCAAGCGCTGCTAAGGACGCCCGCTGGGAGGGACGGTATCTGGATTTTTGGCGGGGGGGGGCCGCCCGCGGCTCCAGGCAAGCGCACTGATTGGCCGCGGGGTGCCGTGGCCGGGAGACGCCGGCCCGGTGCCAGAAACTGGGCCCCTGGCGTGGCGCCAAGACAGGACCTGATGCCCGCTCTGTGCGACCCTGGACAGCTTGTCATCCCGCCACCTGTCCTGGGCTTAGCCCCCCCTAACAGCGTGATAAGTGCACCCAATAAGTTCATGTGCACCTGTCCGGATTCCGGCATTCCGGATTTCGGCACTGAAGCGTCAACCTACAAGCCTTCTAGACTCCGGACGGCCAGTACGTGAACGCTCCACCCCCGCCTGAATGCATTGTGGGCAGCCGCCACTGTCCATCGCGGCTGGTTGTTGTGGCTGGGATCTGCAGCGTCCACTGGTAGGAGTGTCCACACCCACGGGCACGAGCGTGAGTCGACCACATGCCCAAGCTGCGTATTTGCGTCACGGAAACACAGTGCTATCTTGAGTGCCACTCGTGAATGAACAACAGATATTATCTGGACATTTTCTGGAGATTACCAGATAATACCTGGACACTGAGATCAGTGTGGATGGTGGGCCTGCCGCAGCGTTGCGCTGCTCCTGGCAAACCTGCTGTTCTGTTGGCGAATTTTCTCTGCCATACTTCAAAATTTGCATCCCACTCAAGACAGTAGTTCAGACGCCGCGTGCGTCAAAGCAAAAGGCAAGGCCGTCTCATGTCATCTCACGGTGTACTGCAATACAATGTGGGGCCTGTGAAACGCGGCACCATGGATAGCATTTATGGAACGGACGTGTTTCCTTGCGGAGCTGTACATCTGTCAACGGCGACAACACAGCACAACCACAGGAGCACTAAGGGTTTTAACATTTTAACATCACGCAGAGACATAACTGTTGATACATGCTCCGACTACAGGTTTCCTGCATTTCATTTGCAGGGGCATTGGAAAGGAACCCCCAATGCTTCCCACCGCCCACTTCTTACCCCACAGCCCAGGAGATGTCGGCACCAGTTCCCATAGATGCCGCCTTATTCTACAAGGGTGTGTGTCTTGCACGAGCTCAAGGCATCAGAGGCAAATGACCGGTATTATTGCAGCTCACTGCAGTGAATAATTTGTTGGCCAGGCGGAGGATCAGCCTGCTCATCATGATGAACATGGCTTCCTGGAGCACGTTGCACTGGAATAGAAGTACAAATCCTCATAATATCCTGCATGTCAACAGAAATTGAGGGGAACTGTACTACGGTATGGCCAGTCCGTATCGAATCTGTTCCCATTGGCCAGGCTGTTGGCGTCGAGAGAGCCAATTTCCAGCAGCATCTCTTTCATATGCATATATCCCACAGAATTGCTGGCTGCAGCCTACGTTCTGGGGCTTCATTCATGGTTGTCAGTGCCTTGAAGCAATACAGTTAAAGTGCAACGCGACACAGGACACTTCAGTTCCAGTTCACGTTGCAAGCTTTGCATACAACATCCTGGATCAGGTCCTCAGCAGGTCATCACCGACTCATAGGGCAGACGCCTCTGACGGCATGTGGTAGACGCTGCTAACTGCGTGAAGCTCCTGGCACGGCTTTTCACGGATTTCTTGAAAAGGGGTAGCACACCGTCTGCTTTCCCCCAGGCACCACTCTTGCTCTAAGGCTACCATTCGATTTGCAGTCGTTCGAATTCCGAATCGTTTTCCCTGCCTTCCGTTGGCCGGTGGCTCATCTACCACAGTGCGGCGCTCATGCAGACGACTCCAGCATACGCATCTAAAAGCCTTTTCCTTTCCCGGCCTCAGACTCGGTCCCTCGCCTGAGCCAAATTCCAAATACCTCGGGATCCCCCTTCACCCTCCCCTATTCTCCTAACCGCGGCTTCTCCGGGCCATTCACCTTAGCGAGCTCTCGAAGAAGAGCCAAGCCTGCATTTGCCATTCTCTGATTTGCTCAAAGGGGGAAATTGTGCCTTTGCCACACTCGGCGTTGAACGCAGCCCAGAATTCGGGCTCTACCTCGCCGAAGCAATGCGTCCCGCCCTCCAGTACCACCACTTCGCCCCCCGTGCTTTCGGGCAACAAGGATTCGAAGAGTTGGCTGTGCGAGGGAGGAGAGATGCCGTCAAATTCACCCACCAGAAATTTCACTTGCGTCTCCTCCAACTTCATCGCTGCCTCGTATGGAAGATCGCAGGCGCCCAGTGTGCATATGGGACTGACGCCAAAGACGCCATCCACATGGAGGGAAAAGTTTTGCTGCGCCACCACAGCGGCCTGGAAGCAAGCGAAGAACAGTCGTTTCGACAGCACTAAATTTGCTGGCCCATTCCGTGGGGTGTTTTCATTTCAAATGAAAGGGCAACACGAGCCGTGCTTTAAATGAACCAATTTCAAGGATGCGCCACATATCTGGGTTGGACGCGTACAGCATGAGCTTGATGCAGGAAAGAACTCTCAGCGCGAAGGCAGGCACCCGCAGTCGGTCTGGCTCACGTGTCACTGCATTGCACTTCATTGTTTGCTGCATTGTGTCGCTGTATTGACGTACGCCGCAACACTGGCAGTATGTGGACCCGTCCGGCAATGAGTAGGAGCCAGAAAGCACATTGGGAGGTCCCCATGCCCCATTGAAAAGCATCTGTGGACGTGAATGTGCCCGAGGCCGCCCGACGGGCTGTATGGACGTTCTCTCCATCTCGACGAACTCCGAGATGATCAGGTATGTTGATTCCCACACTCATGCGAATTCGGACACATTGCAATTGACAAAACAGCAGGACCGAGAGCCAATGCAGGTGCGACGCTGTCGCTTACTGACAGCAAAGCAAACACCATTGAAACAACAGCTGGAAGAGCGCTAATCAAGGTGCGACGCTGCTCTTCGCCGGCAATTTTGGATCACACACATGCAGTTGGGTGGAGCGGGCACCGGCCCCCACACGGCGACCAGGGGCGCAGAACACTGAACGCCCAACTCCCACAACCTCACCTCCAGAATCATCGCGCCTCCCATGGAATGCCCCATTATGCCCACTCGCTCGCCGTCCACGGCGCCGAGCAGAAAGGACTCGCCATCCGCTCCCGCGGCCACAGCCCACTGCAGCGCAACCGCGACATCCGCGCCGTACGCCTTGAAATCTTCGAGGCTCCCGAACCCGGAGACGAACTCCGTGGAGAGGGGCGACACAACGATGAAGCCCTGAGAAGCCAGGAGGCGCAGCGTGCGAATGTACCCAAACGGAGGCACCCCCAGCCCCGGCGCAAAGGCGATCACGGGAAACGGTGCAAATGTCGAATTCAGGGACTCGGGATAAAGCACCAGAGCGTTGAACGTGGCCTGCGTGGACTGGGGGTTGATCAACACGGAGGGCTGGGGCCGCGTGATGTTCGCCGTGGCGTTGCCCACGGGGAAAATGGAATTGAGGCCGTTGCTGTAGAGGTCGTCGAATGTGGGCAGCTCCTCCGGGCCCAGGGCGGCGAGCTCCTCTTCTGTGAGGCCAATGAACTCAGGGGTGAGCTTGCCCAGGGGACTGTCCTCCAAGAAAGGCCTGCACACAATAATTGATCAAAAATTGGCCAAAATGACCAGGTGCTCGCGCAATATGTGGCCGTTGACTTGCTATTCAATGTTGAATTAAGATCTGTTGATTGATGATCCTTTCAGTTGCATGTTGTGGTCCTGATGTGTTCGTCAAGGAACACTGGGCAATGGCGATGCGGAGGAATCAAGTAACAGCCAGGAGTAGACAGAAGTTTTTGCAGAACGATGAACCTGTGCAGTTGAATGCAGCAAAACCAGCTGTTGAGGCCCTTCCAGGGGTCGGTAAATCGAAAATGAGCAGACCATGGAGGGCCCTCCCTGACTGTCTTCAGTGTGCAGACGGGGAAGGATTCGTGCCGCACTTGAGGAGGCGCAACACAAGGGCTCGCACCACTCGTATGGATGTGGCTGCGGATTGTTGCAGTGGAGAGTATGCTCTTGTGTACTTCATATGTTGATAATACATTTTTATAAATTTGAAATATGGAACACGAAATATCTTGTATTTTCTTGTAACAACTCTGAGCTATTTTTGAATACACCAAAACTTCAATGCAGTATCCTGTCGTCGCCTTACGTCAGTTTTTGATGCCGAATGAAGACGAGATTGTTTGGCATCCCATGAGCGCAAAATGTTAGCTGCCGCTGCATCACCAAGTAGTGCATCAAAGCCTGTGGCAAATGCATACTAGACTAATATTGGAAATTCACCTTGGATACAAGCTGGTGGCTTTGATATAATAAGCAGAATGCTACCAAAACAATTGTTCGTTGTGCATGGCTCTGCACCGCCGAAAGTGGCAATGTGAAAGGAGGTGAATGCAATACCTGCATTGTTCGAGTCCACGAAGGGAGAGCAGACTCTCATTGGCAGGGGGTAACGGAAACTCAACCCCGCACTGCACACCCAGTTCAAGGATCTGCTGGACGAACGGCACGTCTTCCAGGAAATGAAGCTGCAACACAAATTGCATGGAGTCAGGAGCTGACGTCTGCCTGCCGATGTGGCCCTGTTCGCAACCTTGCATGTGTGGAACTTGCAATCTGATTTGGCAAGCTTGTAATCCCAAACTGGGAAAGCTGTTGTGCGAGGTCGCAGCGTTCCGTTTGTGCGCTTCCTTCATTATTTTTTTTGCTGCATTTGTTAGTACATTTGTTGCCTCAACGAGCCGTAGCCCGGAATCCAAAGGTGATGACGGGCGAATTTTAACATCTACTATGCGTTGTCCAAAATCACTTAAAAACTCTAACCCTCATATATAGACCAAAACTTAAGTGGCGAAGTGGTGCTTGTTTTGCCACATGATCGCATGAACCTCTCTGCATCGCAAAGTGGAATTGGGATAGGATTAATGTCACATGACCATTACCGTAGTACTTTATACCCTTCCGCATTGTAACGCAACGTTTGGTCTTTCCATGCGGAGTGATAATAAAATGCTAAGGGAAGAAACTATGTCGATTCTGGTACACTTAGCGTCAAATTGACGCTGGGTGGGGTGGGGTGGGGTGGGGTGGGAGGGGGTAAGGAGGGAATGTGACGCTAAGAGATTATGTAATTGACACAAAATCGACATAGAAAGGAAAGTGCCCCCAAACCCCACTGATAAACGGCAAACAACCCCTGACATGTTCCTAAGCCTGCTGCAAGTGTTCGATCTTCAAAGAAGGCCTTAGAATGGATCAATTTGCAGCCACTGAGGCTGCCCGCCTCACATAGAATGGCATTTGGAATCCCATTATTCTACCCACTAAAACCAGCACAAATTTCATTGGTTTTCTCTTTAGAAACAACTGGAAGTTGAATATCACTGTAAGGTGATGTTGCTGAGTCATCCTGGCTTCGACATAAGGATTGACGCCAAGGAAGGGGAGGATCTGAGCTAATGTCAAATTGACGCTGAGCGCACCAAAATCGAAATAGCGTCTTCCCTAACGGTGCCCAAAAATGTAGAGCAGTCCCAGCTGCAACGCGAGGGTTCTGGACTGCTCTAGCGTGTAGCAGCCCCACGTTCAGGAGCCACTATGGCGGAAGTCCTGCATTTAAGGCAAACTGAGCTGTGTTGCCATTTTGGCTGTGACCATGATGCAGGCCTCCCAAAATAACGGTCTGTCGGGAAAATGCGGTGCAGAAATCGTAACGCTGAAATTTCATGACGCGAAAGGGTTGAATGTGCTACGGTATTCCAAAACATATGTGCTGCGTGCAGAAACAATAGGGACAAAGCACGCCCAGGGAATACTGCCCTCTTTCTACAGGAGAGTCTTTCAAAGATCAGACAGTAGTTAAAGGCCGCTGGATTATGTGTAATTTATTCCCTTCTTGCGTAGGAGACGCATGAGCTTCTGAGGCCCAGATCTGAGTAAATCACATTCCTCACAATTCTGAAAAGCAATGCATTCTCTCTTGGCGATAAATTCCATACCCCCGCCCTGCCTTCGACCACCTGCAACACCAGCAATAAAAAACCACCAACAGAACATGAGAACGGCCCCAATGTTTTCCACACAAGATTCGCACTCACTCTTGGCTGGCACAGACACTGCCCTTCGTCAACAAAAGCAGCAACCGCGGCACAGCACAAGGTAGCATCATCGAGCTCAGGGCCACAGCTGGCTGGAAGGACCTCTGTCAAGTGCCAGCTACAAGCCGTCTCACGGGTCTGCAGAATAACGTCTCCATAAGGTTTGGCCTCTACAGCGATTCTCAAGCCCTCCTCTGTGGCTTTGAATGACACACTGGATGCATCTGTACACGTTCACACACAAACAACATTCCCAACAACATCAAGACAGCTTTCGGTGCTAATTGTGGTCATAAATATGCAGTGTCATGTGTTGGTTGTGTGGACAAAGTAACCCTTTTGAAGGCTTCTTCTCTCCAGAAAGGACAGAAACCTACCAGATGCGTTCGCGATTGCAATCAGGACGATACCAAGAGGCGACTGCCCATTTCTTAGTGGAATGCCAGTGTCGACACTAACAACGGTCACTTATTGCCTGTAAAGACGCAGATAAAACAACTGTGAAAGAGTCTCCTTGTCTCTAACATTTTGAGGCCAAAGGGGAAAACCTTTTCCCTATCGTGCAAATAGCCATTGCTGGCATGCCTGGAACATTAGACAGCTTGGTAGGATGAGTGTAGACAATACAGCAACAGCCCTTCCTGCAGTTTCTAGACCCCACAATGGTTGGAAAAGACGAAAAGTAAATGGCCTGTCACTTATGCTCTGGGTGCAAGATGCTCATGCAAGAAGAGTGTTTGCATCGCTTTGCGAGGATCAGGTCAATGCATTGTCACTTAGAACAATGTGGCTGTAGGGAAAGTGACCTTTCTTTGAAACTGATGGTCCACACTTTCTGGGATGATGAAAACCAACCATTGCGAGGGGGTCCTCAAGACAGCAGCCACTGTTGAGGACTGACAGAGACATGGATACAAGGGCCCAGATGGTGATGGAGGAAATCCATGCCAAATTTGACATCGTGCAGGCCCGATGCACTATGATGCATCGTGTCTGTGATGGTGCGGGCGGCTCTTGCTACAGCAAATGAGGCTTGCATGGTGGCCCAGTGTACACCATCGATGCAATCCAGAACCGCTTGCTCACACATGCCTTCAAGGAGGGCTCTGTCTGCCACCGACTGGGCACCAGCCCTTGGAGCTTCATGGGACACAAGAACCTGTTCCAATGTCATGCCTTGGGTTCAGAGGGTGAAGAAGCTCATCCCGTGAAGTGTGCCGAAGCACTCAGAGCCTGGCGAGCTGTGCTCGTGGCAACAGCCTGTCAAATGTGCCATTTCCATAGGCCGTGCAGGGTATGGCTTGTGCAACAGCAATGTGGAATACACTATCTGTTCTCCAGCTCAGCTTCGATAGATAAGAAAACAACACTTGTCAAGCATGATAGCATTCCTCAGTCAAGAGCTGTTGTTCACGCACCAAACTTCCAGCTGAATCGAATGAACCTAAGCTGTTAAGGAGCCTGTGCTGTCGACTTAGCAAAATACAAATTCGCTTACAGCACTTAGGTGCAAGATGAGTGTCTGCCATCCTGTGCTGGTTTGTGACCAGTGATGTGCCCACCAGGGTTGGATCCTTTGTTGTTATACAGATTTTATGATTACCAACACGCGACAGAAACCATTGTCGTGGGAGCAGTATTTAACTCAAGGATTCAGAAAACACTTCAGCAAAATGCATTCAATTCATCTGGAAATCAAATTTCAATGCCATGGCAATGATTAGTTGCTGAAATGCACATGACTCTCAACCCGCTCAAGGTCTAGTGTGAGAAAATCCACTTTGAAACTTTGATGCTAAACTCCAAGCGTACATGATGGTGGTTGGCCACAATTGTCGTGGAGTTTCTGAGCGGCTAGAGATGAAGAGACATGCTGACGTATACCACGTTCTCTTTAACAACGAATGCATTGACAAAGCACAAGGGGGAAACTGAAGTCTCCACGGAAAGTCCCAACACAGTCACTCTGGATGGACGTATGCCTATCCTTACCTCAAGAAAATCAAAGACAGTGGATGTAACTTTTGACAAATGCGGCAAAAAGACACAGTGACACTGAGTACAGTAAATTATTCAGGGGTCCATGCACTACGGAAGTTGAAACAATCAACTGTGACAAGACGCATGGAAAGGCGTCAGCTACGGCAAAACACAGCTTGGATAAGGTCTTGGGTCGTTTTGTGGTGCATGTCAGGTGCCCAAGACTGTACATGGTGCAGGTGGATTCTGTGGCGACAGATGGAATGCTTGGATCCAATCGACAGTGCAATAGTGGCGCACGTTCAGTTTGCAGCAGGTGGCCAACCACAAACAGGGAAAGCACGTGCGATTCTTCCCGTTTGCCTGGGAATAAGCAAAATGGCCCCGGTACCATCCTGTCAAATCCAGTGATTGGCACGACTAAACACTGCCCTTCCACCTTCCATGCCCGGACGGGGATACGGTTCCGATCGCCACAGCAGCCGCTGCTCAATGTTTGCCCTAGCGGGGCCGCACTCTTCTAAACTGGGCTTCGCCAAGCGCTTCATCAGTTCCTCAAGGTGAGCACTGACACCTCAGTGGAGGGCGCGAGCCGCGACCTACCACGAGCGCCAGAAGGAATCGAAAGGCTCCGGTGCGTGGTTGGGCCTCCATTGGGATCCCCCGGGACGCGTGCTGTGTGCGCCTGACTGGGTGCACCGCAGCGACGCGCAGACGTGTGGGTGGGACGGCAGCAACGCACATAAGTGCGGGATCCTTGAGGCATGCGCACGGGGAACCGTGTTAGACGCACCACGTTGGCGCGGACCACGTTGTCATCAATCATTCTTTTACCATATCAAGGCAATGAGGTGTGGCCGTCCGCTTCCATTTGCCCAAGCAAAGCGGTGACCGCGTTGTCACGTTGGCTGCGGACGTCCATTCCAGCCCCAACCGTTCTCCACCGAACTACGGTACGGTACCTTGACCAAAGTACATGATGACTTGATGCTTGGAATCCCTGTCTCCGTGCTATACACTTGCGAAGACAAGGCCTTCGTTTTGTGTTGTACTTAGGCGTCAATGAGTAAACCATGGACACTGGTTCGCTCGGGGAGATAGGAAGCTGGCGTCTGCCTCCTTGCCTTGTTGTGTAAAGATGAATGATGCTGATGATGAAGGCCAGTGAGAGGTGGATTGGTTTCAAGATCTTGCCAAGAAGTAAAGTTGAGCAAAGGCATCGTTCGATGCAAATTTATCATGCCGCAAAATCTGGAGGCCCTTCTGTCCGCTGCCACATGGGGTTCCAATCGGAATTTGAGGACTTTATCGTTGGTTCTTGGATGGATTGGAATACGAGAGACGTTTGGCACAAAAACCTCTTTCCTCATAGCTTTTCCCCACGTCTCAGGTATAGAGTTTGCTCCTGATGGGATTTTGTTCACTTTTGCACGTCAACATGGCAACTATCAAGTTGGCTTCGGGTGTTCCACTTCAATTCTGAACCAGGCTTGGTCTTTACGGCTTGAGCGCTTTTCTATTTATGGCCACTTACATGGTTATGTAGAAATGGTTTTTATGTTTTTACGGGTAAATAGCCGCAAAAATGCGTAAAAATGGATCCTTTGGACTTAAGAAAGTCCATGCCCACTCAGGGTGTCAGCAGAGCGACGGATAGATGCGCTGAAATGTGCAGACACGACCTTTCTCCCGACGACATTGTTGCCCTTGCAGAGGACGAGGCGGGCGCTGTGTTGGCAGTGCTGGAAGGGGAGGAGGACTGATCGTTGATTGAGACATCATCTTGTAATCTGGGAGTATCAATGGGTCGTGAATATGCGTAGATGCGGTCATTTCTCTATTTACGCATTTTTACGTGTAAAAACGTAAACGTAAGAATGCAGCCGTAAACGTAAAGACCAAGCCTGTTTGAATGAAATACTTTGGAACAGTGCATAAAAGCATCGCAGGGATCCCCCAGCAATTTGACAACAATTCTGATCAACATTCATGATTCAAGATTATATCAAGATTTTGTAGTTAAATGACTTTGGATAAGAAACGGAGGGAGCGAAATGGACGGCGTTGATGCTCTTGGGGTTGATGGCATTTTAGGAGTTTCTACGCTTGGGAATTGCGAACAATGGGTTGAGAGACACCGAATTTGTGAATTTGCACGTTATGATGCACAGCAACTCAGTGGTTGGATTATGGCAATACCCTCGGTTCTGATGAAACAAGTTTTGGATACTGCTTTTGTGGAGTGAAATAGGGAGTTGATGGCTGCCTCCTCGCCTCCACTGGTAGAAAACAGCCTGTTTGTGATGCCAGCTGCGATGCCAATTTGCCACAAATTGATGCCATCACAGCCCCTTCGATGCCATCGCACTCACTGTGATGGCATCGATTTGTGTCAAATTGGCATCGCAGTTGGCATCGCAAACAGGGTGTTTTCTACTGGTGCTCGATATCCCAGAATTCTTCATGATGATTGTGAGGACAAGAAAAGGTGTGTGAGTAGTTAAGTGAGTATGGTGAATTGAATATGGTGTTTATTGCGGTGTCATGGAGAATGATGGGGAAAGACATGAGCTGAACATGCTTGCGGTGAATGCTACATAACGGACAGAACCATTCTGTAATCCATCTGGTTGCGGCTTGCTCCGGTGCCTGGAAGCGACCGTGTGTGAGCGCGAGCGAAGTGCGCGAACAGTGAAACCACGCGATAATGATGAAAGAGATATAATGGCAAGAATCATTGTCCTCTTGTCACGAGCGCATGATGAATGCAATGCCCGTGTAACGTTCCTTCGTACGCCCCTGTGAGTCGCATTCCTTCCCAGTTTTCACGCCACGTGGATCCTGACGCTCAAGTGGGACGCACAGGGCAAAATGCGCCAGCGGACGACGATTCCGTGGGGAGCGAAACAGCAGCGGCCATGTTGCGCTCAGTGGTGAGGGCGGCGGCGAGGGCGGCGCGCCGAACGGGGGCGTGCGGCTCCCAAGGTGAGGATGGAAGGGCCAATGCTAGATCGCGCGTTCGCCGCCGTGGGCGACTGGACTCTCCAAGGGACGCGGATCGCCAATGCTTGGGGCCGTTGGCTGGTCGGCATGCTCGTTAGTTGCCGTTGTTGTTCAGATTTCGCGCAATCTCAACGCTGAAAAACGCCGCGCGTCTATCCTGTGCCAGACGATCTTGTGTGCACATCCTCGCACCCATGAATGTGCCTACCGTCGGTCCGTTTGTCGTTCGGTGTCCAATGACAACATCAACGATCCTGCGGTTGTGTGCCGGCGGGTGATGCGGGGGGAAAGAAGGCATTGCCTATCGATGGCTTGGATCCGGATGGTTGCGGGATGGGCTTGCACTGCTAGGTCCTGACGGACGGGGCCGTGTTTGTGGGGACACTGGTGTTTGGGCTGTCACCTGTGACTGTGAACTGGGATCGGGTCTAAGGAAAAGAGTCAGCCTCTCCTCGGTGCAAAGATAGGAGCGGATCTGGCTTGGCGCAAGGTTTTAGTGCGTTTTACCAATGTACCAGAGTATGGGCTTTACACGTTGCGGGCGACGACGACCGTGCCCAGACTGCCACACCATCACTGATCCGTTGTTGTAGCGAATATTGGCTGTTAGCATATGTCAATGGACGAAGAATTCCCCCGGGTCCGACAGACGATGTCGAACGTTCTTCACAGAAGCACACGTGTTTAGCGCATGTGTTGCAGGTGGAGCCCACAGAGACATTGAAGTGCTTCTCCGTTCATCATTTCGCCCACTCACAGGGAACAAACATAAGTTGCAGAAGCACTTGAATACATTAATTACGTTTTTAAAGACAATGCAAAGTATCGCCCTTGCACAGCGAAGGCACGTTGTCCAAGGGCCTGTGATGGGCACACCATAAATTGTCAAGACATGACTCCTATCTCAGGTTCTGTACCATAATGTGTGATGTGGAGCTGATGGACTACTGTCAGGCCCAGAAATGTCTAGGATGGTGCCCATCTGGGCGCCAGAAAAGCATAGGACAAGGCTTGGGGTTAAAATGAGCACTTGCCCTTGTTTTAGAGGTTATCATGTCCCCAGTTCACCAACATCCAAAAGAGAAATACGCAGATCGCGGTGCATACTGGTATGTATGGCATAGCAGTGCACAGCTCACAGTGCTGTCACTACGCATCTTTGCTGACTGCAATTTACTAGCAGTCTTTTCCCTTGGTTGTACTTTCACCTCAATGTTACCATTGGTTTGGCATTGAGCAGGTATTCTTTACACTGGAGCACGGAAGAGTACGACATGGGCTCACATGCAGCAGACCAAAGGCGCCCAAGCTTGGGGTGGCCTGGCAGCCATGCTGGGACTCTCGGCAGCTGCTTCAGGTGTGCAAAACTCTATTCGTACCAAACTCCCTGGCCTTGGTGTTTGCATCCTCCTGCAGCTTTCAATCACAAGCCAGCTTAACAACATGTATTCTCAGCACATGCATGATCCATGTGTGCTTAGTACCTTGCTATGGAGTACCAGTCATCCTGCCTTCACAGACTTCGGAGTATTTGCTGAAACACCCAGTGTCTGGCTCCAGTATGGTTAAGTACAGGGAGTACCATTGGCCTCATGCTCCTCTATTGCTTGATCTAAGGTATGGGTGTGCAGCTCAGGTGGCCTGTGTCCAGTGCATGATGCATTTGCTGTTTTGTTCGAAGCTTCTTCACCTCACTGGTCCTCATGCCCATCCCTGAATTGTCACTGCAGTGTACGCTCCTGAGGTCTATGCCTCTTCAGTGCAAGAGAAGAGTTTCATCATGGTATGTCCTGATAGACATTGATCTTTGTGGCAGGCAAAAGTGCATGTCAAAGAGCACCACTTGGCTGGGCTCACTGTTGGTGGCACAACAGGCATTGTTGGTGGCTGTTTGACTTTCTCAGAGACTGGCTGCGCAATTCCTTTGAGGATGGTTGACTTGTCTCACCATGTGCTGATGGGTGCTGTTACCCTCCACAAATGCTCTAGAAAAACACCAGTGCTCTGGATAGTACCCTCAAGATTTCTAGCACCTAGAGGCACTGTGGAATGCATGGGAACTCCATAATAGTGAAAACTCTGCTGCTTGTTGGCTAAACTGTCAAGTGTGAACATCAGGCATTTGTACCCTTTGCCAGCTCATGAGTATCCATTTGACTTTTCACAGCTTGCTTGGAACTTGCTCTCTTGTTAGTGGCGAAATGGCCATTTCCGCAGCTGCTCTGTTGTGTGGTTCGAATGCATGACAGCTTGTGTGCCTTGTTTGGTGGATTACAGATCAAGCCTGATGGCATTCACCGAGGGCTGGTCAGTGTCCTGCTGGGTTGCACGATCACCATTACTTGGGGGAGTTGTTTCTCATCACAATGGCACATGCGAATTGCCCTGTAACACCTGTGTGCACAAAAGATAGCCTAAACAATCTGCTGTGTTCAATCATGCATTTTGCATTTTGTCAGATTGAGGCAGAATGCAGCAGCTGTGTTTGTGTGAAAAAATTGTACATTTTGCACAGTGGAAGTGCGCAACCTGATGCTGTGCCACTGATTCCATCACCAGTTCAATTTTCACCATTCCCTACGTGACCCATCTGGGATTGTATGGTGGAATGCCTTTGAGATCTGGTTGTGGATGCTTGCAGATTGCCGACATCATCAAGCGCTTTGAGGCCAAAGGCTACAAACTTGTGGCCATCAAGGTCATGGTGCCATCCAAGGACCTAGCTAGCAAGCACTACGAGGAGCATGCCCAAAGGTGGTCCATTGTTCCCTGACGATATTGATTCTTTTCACTTAACTTTTGCCAGAATCCTGGATGCTGCCAACTGTACAAAGCTCATGAGAAGACAGCCATTGAGTAGCCCATTGTTATGCGGTCATAACGATGTAACTTTCTTGGAGATCTGGTTGGCGAATCACCAATGTAGCTGGACAAGTTTCAGCATATTTTTCTCTTGCTTGGGTCAATCATGGAATTTGGGCTAACTCCGCATTTTTGGCAGGCCATTCTACCCTGGTTTGGTGACTTTCCTGTCGTCTGGGCCAGTTGTTGCAATGGTGAGAAGATCTTGCACGCTGACTATTGTGGCTTTTGGCAACCGATTTGGGCTTTCACAATATGGAATCAATATGTGCATTTGCCGTGGCAGATCTTTCCTATGTGCCACAACATTTTCAAAGTTTCGTATCACTTGTGCCTGGTTATTGCTGCCTCTTGAGCCTGGCCACAGCCTGGGCTGCATCCTCTCTGTTGGTTGTACATCCATTCCAACGTGACACTTCACCCATCTTTATTTTGGTTTCTTTGGCTCTCCCCTTTCTCCCTTTTCCGGTTGTAATGCGAGTGTCTCATGACTCAGGTGTGGGAGGGAAAAGATGTGATCAAGTATGGCAGGAAAATGATCGGTGCGACCAATCCCTTGGCATCGACCCCAGGCACGATCAGGTGCGATGGATTGTGCATGCCCAAACATTTCTGTTGGTGCCTGCCATGCTTTTGGTACCGCATCTTGAAGGCAGCAGGCTGGCTGTCGTATCCATACAATTGTTTTCAAGCAAGCACACTAGGTCATCGCCACTTAAGCATTTGGTGGCACGGTTTGGGTGGCTGAGTTTTGATATTGCACATGAGACAGCGATCTGCCTCTGCATCGTTGCGCTTCCCTGCATTGGAACTCTCTGCCTCCTTATCCACCTGCATTCTGCTGCCAACATGTGTATAAAATATGGCGTTGTGCGGTTGCAGAGGTGACTACGGAATTGATGTTGGGCGGAACATCATCCATGGCTCGGATAGCGTGGAGGTAAGAATCAATATGTTGAAGGCCATTTACCACCCCAGGAGATGTTAATCAACCTTCCTGTTTGGCTCCTTTCCATTTTCACACAGTGTACCTTGATCACAGTGCACGTGGGGGCCTTGCCATGTGTCTTTAATCTCCCATGCTTCACCAAACTCAGACGCTGCTTGGATATATCTCAGAACCGTAGCAAAGGGCGTACCAACGGCTTTGGGTCCATGTTTGCGTTGAGTGATTGACCAACCAAGATGCCGCAGCATGTGGTTTTGACAGCAGACTCATGATCAGTCATCGGAACCAACAGTGCTTTCGCATGCTCTCAATTATGGAAATGAGAAATTGCCACAGGTTCATAGCAGCAGACCCCTACTCGGCACGTTTTCTGGACAACGCGTCATTTTGCACTTGCGGCCAAGAGAAAGAAAAATACAGAAGGGAAATGAAGGAAAATTGAAGAAATATAGGAAAGGGGAAGGACGGGGTAGAATTGCTACATAGAGAAATGGAAACAGGGCATACAACGGCAGCTCCTCCTGGGCCAGCGCATGGGAGGTTCTTTCCCATGCTGTGAAAGATGATATAGACTCCGGTGCAAAAGGACGAGCACACAACATAAGGAGCTGAAAAAAAAAGGCGCTGAAGCAGGCGCATAGACCAATGGTATTCAGCAGCGCAGTGCAAGTATGATGGGGAGCAACGAAAATGCAGCAGTGTGACTGCGAGATTGAACCCCGTTCAGCTCCAGTCGCGTTACATACACTCTGCTGTCGACAATTTGGCTGAGCTAAACACTGGCTGAAACTGCGGGAAACAGCTACAGGCACTACAGCTCGTGGATTCTGTGTACGCTGCCTGATTGCTGTGCGTGTTCACTGAACAATTAGGGCACTGACGGCTGTCTCCCGGCTTTGATATACACTCACACTGAGACAGCCATTGTCATGCCAGAGCAGTGCGATGTGACAGGATGTGCAATGATTTGTGACAGTCGGCGCAGCGGGAAATCGCCCTGTGGTTTGGTGCGGGAGAGCTCGCCGAGTACGACCTGGCCATGGGCAAGTGGGTGTACGAGTGACTCCAGCTCGCCGACGGGAAGAGTTGGGCAGGGCCAGATCGCGTCACAGTGCCCCATGCCGGGAGACATACTGGGGAGTCGCGCTGCTGATTGCCTCTGTCGTCAATAAGCCATTTGCTCGCCTGGCAGACGGAGGACTGTCACTGCAGCTCTGAGGTGGAATTTGATTGCGACGACGACTTGCAGACATGGGCTTTCCGTGCTGAAGCCTGTTTCTGCCTAGCCACCCATTGTGGGACGCTGGCTGTGAGGAGTGGCGGTCTCCTCGGTCATTTGCTTGGCTGTGTTGGGGTGAACCTTGGGCACACCTTTGCTCGAAGGGAAGTCGCGCGCAACAACTCGTCCGCCTCGTCCAATGCAATGCATACTTTTTGTTGTGCAATTCTGTCAGCCTTGCATTGTGGGCCTAGTAGGCTCGTAAGGTGGGTGAGAAGATCGACAACCTCAATTTGGGATGGGTTTGGGACAGGCAAAGCAGGGTGTTCCCAGCCAAACACAACCCCAAAATGCAGTCAGTGTGCACTATCGCTGGGACGCCACGCCGTGTCAAGCGCACAATACAGATTCTGAGGTATCTCAATTGGAGGCGCACAGTCAGCCTTGACAAATGTTGGAGCTGTGGGCCAGTGGATCACACATACACGAAAGCCCATCCATTTTGGCGGCTCGATCTCCAGCGTGACCACGCATGATCCCTTCTCCAGCGTGGCCACGCATGATCCCTTCCCCAGGGGAACGCAAGGCCTGCGCGTCCTGCACAGGGCACATGCTCACAGGGGAAGAGCGAGTTGAGTACGAACATCTCGAGCAATAGTTGAATGCTGCAACAGACGACGATACGTTGAAGTGTTCACGCTTGACGCAGAATCGTCGCTGCGGTGAGTCCTGCAGCGCTGAGAAATTGCGCAATCCCCAATGGTCGACGACAACCGCAAAGGGGGCGCGCCCTGAGTGGGCAAGTATTAGTCACGAATGCGAGAAGTGCAATATGAATTACAGAGTGGCGCATGTACACCATTTTTATAGTCCCATCAAGCCAGGAAACTTCTGTGGCTCCAGGCTGTCCCACATAGGGCTGAATAAGCCCCACCTCCTCTTCTGTACCCTTCCGTACCGGAGCTGAGGGGGAACACTTCTAATAATCCCATTAAATCACTTATAATCCTCCCTTAGTACTTTAAAGGAAAGGAGTGACTTCCAAGTGCTGCAGGGAGTCCAAAGTATGGACTTTCCCATGGAAACCTTGGAGCCCAAAACTCCAACTTCCCAAAGTGCCCTAAATAGCAACACCTCAAAGTTGTGCCCTCAGAATGGCATGTCCATTGCCTTTCTTATCCTTGGATATGAAAAGCAAGACTTCGGAGAGTATTCCCTCAATGCCGCGAATTGCTTCAATTCCTTTAAAGATGCAACTATCGGCAAAGCAACTCATTAGCACCAGAATGTGCTTGCCACCTGAACTGGCTGGCAATGAGCTTTTGAATGAGGAAAAATGGGTCAACCCCTATGATTTCCACAACAAGCCTCTTGTTACCAAGTATTCACACCAAACTTTAGAATCTCCTTCCCTTTGAGTCCGTTGTCAGACAGCTAAATTATAACCTCTCCTACTTCAAATCACCTACATAGTTTCCAGGAAACCAGGAGAGCTTGAGGCAACAAGCTCAAACTTTTTGCGCCTTGGGTTCGTATCTGTCCAATTTTAAATAGAAAATCAAGGTTATTTGCACGAATCTACAGTATTCTTTTGCATGGTCTGAGAGTGATAGCATAACTCACGCCATCATACATAGTAAGTGATGTGTTTGCCATGGATGCTAGCTGTGTGCACTACTATAAGTTGCCAATTAAGCACAACAATGGTTATTGCAAGGCGCCACAACCACGCCTCAATGCTTGATATCAAGTTTGGTGTCTCTATTTCCAAGAATACTATGTTCAACATTTCCATGCATCACCTTGCTTCTACCCTTTGTTCATGGCTCCACCTTAAGGGACCAAGCATGCTGCAATGCCAAATATGAAGCAGAGTATAACACTAGTACAAAGACACAGAAATGCACAACAAACATGACCATATTGACAGTAGAATGGCCTCTTTGAGGCCGCCCTGTGACAACCCCATTTCACCTGCTTTATTGAGGTCCGCAGCCCATTTAAGGCTGTAGAAGCCATTTACGGCATATTTAACATCATATAGTGCGTAGTACTTTACTTGGTAGCATTGATTGACAATCGTCCAACCGAAGGAGGGTGGTTTTGAGCTGGGTGACCGGTGCTATGGGGTTGCAATCGCCCCTGCGCCCACGTTAACACAACGCTAAAGGCCTGAATGCCCTGTGTATAAGGTACCGGAGTGTCCCTGGGCTGCGAACGCCCTGCACGGCACAAAGTCCTTGCCGCTAACGGCCAGAAACGACCCGGCAAGCATGAGCATTCACATCCCGACACTCTGATCGTCGTGGACGCGGGAGCCAACCTTACAACATGGCTGTAGAAGCCTTCGCGAGTGGGGAAGCGGCGCGGCGAAGTTGAGAATTAACTCGCTCGTTCGCAGATCTAGAGCCAAGGTGGCGTTTTCACGTGCCCCGGCCCCCACCACCCGCATTGCTTCGTTCTGCCGAGCCTCAAACCCGTGTAAGTGGCGAAAGAGGCTCCACCAGCGTTCTCCTTACCACCACGTTAGCTCTTTTGAGCTTGCGAAGCGGTCAGAGGGCTGACCCACGGTCAGTTGGAGTGGCCGTGCCCCAAACTGAATTTGTGGCTTGCTTGTCGCTTGAAAAGCGCGCACATCCATTCAGAACTGCGGAGGGGTTGTTCCGGCAAGGTCTGGTCGCGGACGATAAGTCACGTTCCGCTTTCCCAGACTTTATGCGTATTTCCATTGCGTCCATTCCGCTGAGTCGGAGGTCGTGCCGTGCACAAAATCCGCTCGTTAGACGGTGGCGGCATTCTGAATCGATGAAGAATTTGTGGCGGAGCTAGCTCTTGGCGTTGCTGTTGGGTTTCGCACCCCCTTGGGTCGCGTGCACTTTTCTCTGCCTCTTGGGTGCGGAGCTCCTGCGCTGGCAGTGACTCCCAGGCACTGTCTTGAAAGCGTGGCTGGCGCAGTTGTTCTACATGCACAATGATAGGATGGTAATACCTAAGGCAGAATTGGTATCAATAGAAGCGGTACCTTGGGCAACGTCCGTAGCATCGGACGGTGGCAGCAACTCGCCCATACTCTGCCCCTTGTCAACAGTGGATCGAGGTGGCGCAACAGCTCGATCATAGCAAAGGCTACACACACGAACCATTTGTGAATCGCCGTCGGGATCGACTTCTCCACAGATCCCGTGGATGTACCCATCACACCCAGAGCGCATGTGTATAGTGTAGTGGGGCGGTTGGGGGGTGTTTGGCCTTATTCAGGGCGGCATTACAGAGGCCACCCCACTGTACGCATATGCTGGCACGTGCGGTGAACAAACTGTGTTCATCTCCAGGGGGTCATCCTGAAACCCCTCCCTAGCCCCGGCATATCCACCAAAATTGGAGCACGGGTAAAATGACAAATGGACACAGCCAAATTCGAAAACCCTGTCCCGCTGCCAGCTACTACACCGCTATCCTTTCCCACGCCACTCACGGCGCGACCCTCTGGGCCGCACAGCCCCTGCGGCGCCTCGAACCCGCACCGGCCTACGCCCCCAACTACGGTCGCCGGATCCGTCGTCGGAGTCCCAAATAGCACGCCAGCCATCCCCCAGCGGCAATCCCGGCCCCCAGGGACCGTCCTTCACCGGCGAGGCGATTTGCCGCCGGGGAATCCGAGGCCAGGGGCGGGATGGCGTGATCGGCGGGTGGCGGGCGTCGCATCGGCGGACGAGCTCCCGGAAGCCCCCCCGCGGGGCGGCTGGGTGGGGGCGGATGGATCAGTACCAGTGAGTTGGGCCAAGGAACTTGCATTGTCCTGTGTCGCGCAAAGGAAGGAGCTGTCGGGCAAAATGTGGATGTTAGTGCAAGTTGGTCCCTCCCGCGGGGCGATTGGGTGGATTCGGAAGGATCGGTGCCAGTGAGTTGTGCCAAACGAACGTGCGGTGTCCGTTTAGCGCGAAGGGGAAGGGGATGTGGTGCGAATTGGGGGTTGCGGTGACCTCGGCGCGAAGGTGGAGGGGAGGGGTCGTTGGTGGGGAATGCAGCGCATGACGCTGACTCTGGGGATGGAGACTGTGAGGGGAAGTGTCGGCGTTTGGTTCTCGGAAATTTGGCCAACGACGCATGGAGGGGTGCCTCGTTGAGGGTGCGTCCCGAGTATTGCCGCTGTGACCTTGGCGTTTTAGCGCTGTTGGCATGTTTCCTGTCTTGAGTACGGCTCCGTCAGGAGCCAGGGGCAGACGCCCCGGGGCCACAAGCTTCGCCCTGAGCTCACGTTTGCTTGCTTTTGTGCTGCTGATTATTGAATTCTTTGGCTCATGCCCTCGAAGACTGTCAATCACAAGTTGCAATTCTGAATGTCCAAGATCTCACCTGACGATGGTGCGCGCCCAGTTTCTGACAAGTCTAATAATTTGGAGAGGATGGGCACAGGATCGCTGGCCAGTCTTGTACTAATGGGCAGCAGTAATAGGCACTCTCTGGGTTGCCTTGACGCTCGACCAATATAGTCAGTTCGAGCAAATTTGTCAGCCTATGAACCTACCATCTTGACTGAACAAAGAATCAAGCTGCAGAGCCAACGCACTTTTCAGTCCAACAGTGTGCCTGTGAGCAGCAGCTGTGGCTGTTGATAACCCCTTATGTTCATCACTTTAATTCTCCCCTTCCTCTATTTTCCTAGCACAGATCCTCGCAGGCCACAACAAAACTGAGCCTGTGCGATGATCTGACCTCAGAAGGGACACTTGCTGTGGCTATAATTCAATTGGCAGGACCCATTCTGATCGCTACTGTGCATGCTTGTGTCCAGCATCTACGACCCCATCGGCCGGGGGAAGCTCTCGACTGTTTACAAAGGTCGCAAGAAGAAAACCATTCACTATTATGCAGTCAAGAGCATCGACAAGGTCCAGACAGACAGGGTCCTGCAGGAGGTAAGTGCCATAGACTTCTACAGCCATTTACCTAAGGACAGTGCGCTGCCGCCACAGCCACAAGGCGATGGGGGAAGTTGGGAGCATTGTTTTTGTTTCTAATGTTCCAATCACACTGCCATTCCACCTGACAACTGCCAATTGGGAAGGGTGCATATGCTTCTGACACGGTCAGTGCCAGGTGCAGGAAGGGTGGTCGAGGGGGGGGGGGGAAGAAACTAGAATGGGTGGGAGAATGCCTCTTCAGTGCTAAGATGGTTTAGCAGCGACCATTTATGAGTTCTGGAGCTACATACTCACAATTCGACTTCTGTGGTGCAGGTGCGATGTATGCACCTCTTGAACCACAGGAACATTCTTAAGTTCCATGCATGGTAAGCCGGACAGGAAGGCCAGAGTGCCCATTCACCATGGTGGTGAATGTCTCGCTCACTGTTTCCATTGTGCCTCATCAAGTCTCAGATTCAGCAGCCAGTTTGAAGACAGAAATTTGGTTTTGTTAGTTCTTGGCTGCTGTGCATTTCAGAGGTTGGATGATCATTTGTAGCTTCCATCCTGCGCAACGTTCACAATTGGGCCACCACAGAACAGAAGGCTCAGTATTAATGCCATCGCCCACAATGAGCAAGGGCAGTGCTTTTGGCTGTTTGAGAAATGTGCCCAAAGAGTTTGCACAGATCTTCTCAGCTTGCCATGACCTGCTGCCTGCAATGTCCAGGAAGTATGGGCATCGAACGGATATCTGCACGGCCCCAGCATCGCACTTTGCAAATTTCATCTTCCTGGCATGGGAAAATTGTGCAGATTTGAAACGTGAGACAGAGGCACAGTGCTGCTGTTGAGCATCCAGGCTCTGGAATTTGCCAAAGAACAGCAACTACTCACATGCTTTGCCACCACCACATGTAACCTGTCACCTCATGCATACCGTGGAAAAGCCACTCTGGCTCCGAAGATGCAAAGGCGGCATCATGCCTCTGGCACATGCAATCGAGGCAGAAGAATACACAGAACAGTGTGCTTGCCTCCTCCATCAACCGGGCCTTTGCCAATTGCCCATACCACCTCTGCTGCGCAACATCACCTCGCAGGTACAAGGGCTGTGCTTGATCAGTTTTGGCAAAACGCAACCAGAGGACTAAAGCACTCGCCGCCATCTGTCCCGCCCCCTGAGATGTGCTGCTAACTTGCCAAGCCAGGTATGAAACTACCCACCACCTTTGGCTCATCCTAGACTACTGCGTCGGGGGCGACCTCATGAGCCTGATCAAGCAGGAAATCCGCCTCCCAGAGAACAGCATCCACGACTTCTCAAAGGACGTCCTGGCGGCGGTGCAGTACCTGCATTCCCGGGGCATCGTGCACTGCGACCTGAAGCCGTCGAACATTCTCCTCGACGAGAACGGCCGACTCAAATTGGGAGGCTTTGGCATGGCGAGAAAGCTGGCAGACATAAACCAAAACCCCACTGCCCTGGACTCCGTACCCCCGGTAGGCAGAGTTGAATTTGGGATTGAAAATTTTCACTGGAAACGGATAATTCCCGTGATGGGCTGCCTGTGGCCAAGAGTTGTGAAGAGATTCTTCCTCGGTGTGAAGGATGATGCGAAATCCACAAAGTGAGGCAGAAATATCGCGCAGGAGAGGCAGGCTTGTCCACAGTATCGAAATCAACGTTCATTTGGCTCAAATGGGCGAAACGCCAGACTGCAGAGTGCTTCTGAGTACTGCTAGGAACTTCAGTGTACAGAGTACTGGGAATTGCACCAATTTTGCCCGAGAAGCAGCCAATCCTTCCTTTCCACCGTTGTCAAATATGGGCGGAACGGTGACACTGGCTAGTAGAAATTGGCCGCCTTGGACGATAATCGTGCCATTGGCAGATGACCAGGTGGTCAGCAGCTGCAGGTAGGGCTGCCATTGTGACATACGGCCTCGGTTGTAGACGCATTGCAGCAGCGAACTGCTGGAAGCTGGAAGGCATGTGCATGCAGTTTTACACCAAAACACATGGAGTGCGACCAATGCGATCGGACCAGACTGTGGCTCAGGTCTGCGCCTGGGTATCAACACTGCCAGCAAACACACAGTATTGGTGGCGCAATAGCCTGGAAGAAAAGAGCCTGAAAACAAACAGCGAAGACATTCCGATCGGACGACAATCAGACGCGCGGGAGTGCCGTGGAAACGAAGTTTAGATTGAATGATTGATGATTGAACGTGAGCCTGTGGACCGGCCTTTGCTCGCTCTGCCAATGAGTGTGCGGCCTGATTTGCGTGCCCACATTTCTGGTTACCGGACATTGCTGCAAGGGGGGCAATTCCATGCACTCTGATATTTGCGTGTCCAATGGTGATTTGCCGCACGTCTGGTTGGCAGGTGAAGCGCGGGTCTCCAAACTACATGGCCCCCGAGCTTTTCCAGCAGGGTGCAACGTACTCCATGGCATCAGACATGTATTCCCTGGGATGCGTCCTGTACGAAATGGCGACAGGCAGGCCCCCTTTCCTGCACACCTCGTTCCACGAGCTGCTGCTCATGGTATTGCACGAGGCGCCGGGACCGATGCCGGGTGAGGGAAACTTGCAACTTTCTTTAAATAGGGGTACGCCCTGGTGCCAGAGCCACGTGACTTTGTTTCGCTAATAATGGTGCCGCGGCATTGAGCGCCGAAGAATCCTGCAACCGAACCCTTGAACGACAGTCATTCAAGTTGACTGCATCTGTATTAGCCATAACGTATCTGTCGGCCATGTTTGGGCCTGCCGTACTTCGCGATACCAGACCCTGACACCCCGCAGCGTATTCCGTGCACAAGCAGTTCGGGGGTATCTCGATTACTCATGCGAGAGATTCTGTACGTTCTGATTCTGTTGGTGCGGCAACAATGGCCATTGTCCTCATGCGGTGCTTTGGTCCCTGCGCATCCAATTCGAAGTTAGCCCTGCGTTCTCGCCCTGCCGTAACCCCTGCAGTCCACCTTCCCGCAACCACCGTCGTTGCTTGAACGTCTGAACGTGATGCGTGTAGAACAATCAAACCTTGTGAAACCTCATGACGATGTCGACATTCGCGCCCAAGTCCATCGACCAATACTCAACATTCCAAGTTGCCGCATACCTTTCTGCAGTCGTATCGAGTCGTACGTATGTGTGACGTGAACCTAAGCTGCTGTGTGGCATGGTTCAGGGTGCTCCGCTTCCTTCGTTGAGCTGGTGCATGGACTGCTTGACAAGAATCCGGCGACGCGGCTTTCGTGGAAGGTGCGCCACTGGATCATCGCGGGGCCGAAAACCCCTGAGGCTTGTCCCCTATCTGCACCTCGTCGATACAATTTGTCGTTAATGTGATATCTGAACAGGTAATACATTCTGTTATGGCATTCATCACCGAGGAGCTATTATTGTCAACGCTGTAGGCAGAACTGTCCTTGTAGGAGCCCTCCTCTTCGCGATCCCTGCCTTTGTTGACCCGCCTCCTCAGATTCTTTTCATAAGAAAGTGCAAAAGAATCCTCAAAAGTATCCTCAATATGATGGTGAACAATATTGCTGTCAGCTTCCCTGACAACACTGATGGAAGCCACAACTTAGTGACGCCAAGTGTTCCTCCACGAAACTGCTGTGGTCGATTCAACAGTGAATAAAATCCAACGTGTGGCCAGACTTTCGCGTGCCATTCTGGGACCATGGTGTGAGTCCGCACCCAGTGGAGAACGGCTTGGCGCAGTGATCCGGGTCACAGGCATTGACGCTTTCTCGCACAACGCTTGTCTACCGCCGCAGGACATGGTGACCCACCCCTTCTTTCATTTTAGAATGACCCCAGTCGACATGCCTCCGGAGCCCGTCTTTGATGAATACGTGAAGCGCCACAAGCTGAGGCCGCAGACCCCGTCATCCATGGAAACGGAGGAGGTGAGATATCGGCACCACCGCGTGCCGGACAAACTTGCCCATTCTTGCATTTGTGCGGTCCTGGGCGAGTGACCTGAGTTGCGTGTCAGCCACTCGCCATGTGTCGAAACGGGACCAAACGGGAATTCGTCGGCACGTTCGATTGTGTTCAATCTCGAAATGAGCGCATTTGCATGAGGATATCCGCCACGGTTGGACTGCGGAGATCTGTACATCATCGCTCCAGAACGGGACAGACTATCGCCATCCTTTTGCGCAGGAGGGGTCCCGTCGTCAGAATTGCCTCTGCCTGTTCCAATGAATGTTCGAAAATTGAGATGTGAACAAATTGGAAAGAAACCGACGTTTGCGTGGCGAATGGCCTCACATGGCCGTCAAGATGCCGCATGCAAATGCAGATGCAGCGGAGCGAACGCACAAGGGAGGTCAGGTAGTGATGTGTTGGCCCTTCAGGCACAGGAGCGTGCCGCGAGCCTTCGCTCCAGCGTGAACGTGCAGAGGCTGTCGCTCATAGTCATAAAAAACATAGAGAACGAAGGGGATGAGTCAGATTACCAGGGGGCTACGGAGGTGGAGGCGAACGACGTTCTCCTGTCCCACGCAGATGCCGAACTGGACTTTGAAGAAAGGCGAGACGAAGGTGGGAGTGGCATTCAACTCGTGCTGTGGGCTCCTTGCTGACAGTTGCGAGCTTATGCATGGGTGTAGCCCTGTGCGTACCAAACCACAGCCAGAAGATAACAGCTCCACCTAATTGGATTACATCTTCAGCCAAAAATTGGCAACGTCCATTTTGACTTCTGGAAGAGTTTCTCCGTGCGCGCTGGAGACACGCTGGGATCTATACTGTCTGAATGGTCTCTCATAAGCGATACATCATATAGAAAATTAACCCTGTCTCCATATGTATCTTTCAGTGCAAGTTCCGCACCAATCGCTCTGAATGATCATATGAATTTGTCAATTTTGTCTTGTCATGGCTATCTTCCCTGCCTTGCAGCGCGGCAATCACGGTTGTGCTAAATTGACTTTCCTTGCACCAGGCATGGAGCGCATCAGAATGGTGTCGCACATTGCACTCTGACTCTTCGCCGTATCAGACAGAACAGTACTCTGTGAGGGTGCGTCTGTCGCTTGGGGGCATTCATCTGCCAATACACGACCAGAAATGCTCAACAAGCATTGCGTAACATGGTCATGTGCAAGGCGCTTTCAGAACTTAGAACGTGTTTCGCATGTGTGCTGCCCTGGGCAGGTGTGTCGAGCAGTGCAGACGAAGAGACCACATCGCCTTCCCCGAGGGATGAGATGGCGACGCCGGTGGAGGCGAAGGCCGGCAACCTGGGTGCGGCGCCATTGCGTTGCAGTTAGCATTTGGGTTAGTTTGGTCAAACAATTCGATAAGAAACTACTCTTCTATGTGCTAGAAGATGTGGCGAAATTTAGCGTCGCTGTGCTACACTCCTCGCGAATGATTTCCCAACAATTTTGTTGAGTTTTGACAATCGATTGCTAGTTGTTATTTGCATCATATCCCTAAAGCTACTGAATTCACAGTTTATAATCGCTACTTCTTGTGCTGTATACCCCTAGCATGGCATCGAAGCTGCTGCTTGTTGACTGGACGGTCAATATCTTTGTTTTGCACACTTTCACAGATGTTCACTTGCCTCTATTCGTATGTGCACATATCTTTTTCAATAAGTTTTGATACATATTTGTCACGATTTACTCCATTTTCGCAGAGGGTTGTGCATGCGATAACCAGCATCACGCTTTACTCGCAAGAAAATGCAATTGCGCCGCACAGCAGCAAGGTGCCAGGCGGATTCCCAACAGCATATAATGCAACAGTGCCAAGCCCGCCATTCGTAATATAGACTCCATAGTGCACAAAAGAGTGGTATCCTTTCCTGAAAGTGGCGTTGCCCTTTTCAAGACGGATGCGGTCCCAAAAGCCGCGCAAAGCAAGAAGATCGCGCAGCTGCGTCGTTGCCGGGGATGCGCGGACTGCACACCTACACCTCGCCCTGGGCAAAGCTGGGATCGGAGACACTACCTCCAGCATCAAAGGGTGCTTCCACGTCACAGCCCATTAAGTTGTTGCACTTTGGCTCTATACGCGGATATGGAATGGTGGCAATAGGACTCACCAAGGAATGCCCCGCCAGTGCCATCTCCCTGGCATGGTCTCCGCGATGGGAAAATGGAGCTGAAAGAGCGACCCATCAACACTGAGACCTCATGTGCGCATGTCTAATGCTTGCAACTCCCATTGAAGCTTGTAACATTTGCGATACTGTGCACACCGAATTTTGTGCTTATGTATTACACCACCAATTGCGCTACTACTAAGCTCATTTACGGCGGTGCTCAGTGCTGCAGAGGCCTCAGTTAAAGCACCAAATCAAAATTTGCCAACTCCTGTTTCTGAACCTTTTGCACCAGTGAGGTGGACTTCAGATTTAGCTGTACTTTGCAAAATGCTGAACTGGCAACATTGTGTGGCAGGCCGTGTTGGCATGTTGGAGGGCGTCGACCCGGACATAATTCGATCAAAACAGAGCCTGAAAGGGACGAGATCCAGCGCGTCTTCCCGCCTCGGCGGCGTCCTGTCCGTGAGCGCCGGCAACCGGGTAGACGGCCGAGCCGGCACCTCCAACGGCCACCGGCACAACGGTGAAGAGCTTTCGGTGCGCAAGTCGTAATCCAGTGCCGCGGCGGAACAGGCAGTTCTCATCGAAACTTTGCGTTGTCGAATGTGGTAACTGAGGACGATTGCACCAATTTTGCTTGGTCGAAAGTGCGCCAGCGGAAAGGGAACCCTAAATAAATAACCACACGTTGTTGTGCACATGGCTGGCATTCGCTTCTCAGTTGCGCCATCGACTGCTTCTTTCTAAGCCTGTTGCCGAGCGCAGGTCAGCAACCAACGGGGTAGAATTAGGAATGCACGTGATGGCAACTGCTCTGGCCACATGCTCCAATTTCGGGTGCCTGGCACAGCGCTCCTCTTGTGCACGCCAGTTGGCGCTGGAGAATCTTCATTGCTGGTATCAGTTGTCAAGAATTCTCCGTTTGGAAACAATTTGATTCCACGAGAAATTACTAATTGGATGTTGAAAGTGGTTTTAGGTGTTCACCATGTAAGGGGCGAAATCATATATTCATGCCTGTTCTGAGTCACGTTTCGCATTGGGGTGAGGAGTGATGCACTCCGGGGGCAATGCAAGCTGCGCATAACAAGTTCATGGCACCGCGCCTTGGCTTCGCAGAATCGTCACTACCACCACATCGCGCTGTAGATTGTAGCGCTTCACATGGACTGAAATCGCAAACTTCACAGATTGCAAAATTTGCGCTAATGTTCTGCTACTGAATCATTTTGCGCAGTGTATACCGCCATGATTTTAAGTACAGTTTCGCACTGGCGAACGGCGCTACCTTTCAGTGTTATGGACGCGGAAACACAATGGCTTTGAGCACAATAAGCATTCCGCAGATGCGAATCCACACAAGTGTGTGAAATGCTAGAGCTGGTGCAATACTATTATAATCGGGCAATTCGTATTGGCACTACTGTGGTTGAACTAATATTTTCCGTATAATGCGGCCTTCTATTTGATATTGCTGTCTTGGCAAGGTTAAGTTCTTGGCTTCCAAACATATCGGATTCGTTTTCAGTAGCCCTGTCGGTGGAATTGTATTATCTAGCAGCGGTGAAGACCTGGTGCCATTGTTTAGCGTCGCAACCAACACAAAATGGGCTTGCCCAGTACTTTCTTTACCACGATTTGTGGCTGGAACAGGGCGGCGTCCAAGCGTGTCCCGACGCATTGGCCAGGCGGCCCGAATTGGAGGATTTGATCTGGCACCCAACGGACGCAGCCGTCAAGCCCATCGTCGCCAATCGCCGGATCGAGCGTCTCATGGAGCCTAAATACGACGACCGATTGCTGCCATTCCTTCCGAAAACTGCGAAGAGCCTGGCGGAAGCTCCAAAGGTCCGTCGGTTGTTTAATTAGAGGATGTGGTGGACTTGCTGCTGTGTCGCGGTTCTGCACACGGCCAATGAGCTCATCGACACATCGCTGCATTGTCAAATCGTTGCGTTGTTGCGGCATCACGCGAATCATTGCTGATTCCATTGGGTCGCGTCCAAACGGGCTCTATCGCCACCGCTTGTCATCGAGGACGCAAGTTGCGTTGCCGCGTTGATTCACCAAATGGCATGAATCCAACACGTACCGAGAACGGACCGTGAGAAAAACCCACACACAACGGAATTGGAATCGATCCAGGTTAAAAGGATGATACCATCAATCTTAAAGCCTTCCACGCTCCCAATGTTACAGATACTTAATCTGTCTCCTCGATTCGAACAGCTTAAGAGGCGCTCAGCGCCCAACTCGAAATTCCTAGGAGTGTTGTTGCTCAATCCAACATACTGAGAGCAGGACACCACACGGCGACTTGCGGCCAAAGAATAATACGAGCACTTCCTTTTAAGGTTTTCACAGCCTTTCCGCACATCATATGTCGATGATGAATGACATCGAAAACGCGGTGTAAGCTACGTGATATTGACATTTTAGCCGCAACAGTAACAAAGAATGGGCAACTAGACAAAAGCAACAGTGTTGTGCATCCACAAAAATCCATTTTTAAAATAGCAGCAGTGTTAATCACGAATTATGGACGATTCACAGCAATGTTACATGATAAAAGTGCTGAACATATTCATGCAAAATGGTCAATAACTTGCTGCTGTCAACTGCTGACAGCGGTCATCAGTGCGAAGTGAGCATCAGCTTCCCACTGCCGCGAATCCTTAACACGGCACAGGCAAATGTCATGTTGGTGTTTGCTCTGGAAGCGATACATTGGCTTTCTTACACAATGGATACATTACTTCACAATATTGCTCCAAACGAGGATTAAACCAACTGCTCGAAAACGGCATGGACATGCCAGATATGGCGGGTCAGTCGCTGGCAATGTTTTCCACCGCCATGTTTGTCGCAAATGGCAGGAAGAGGTGCATGCCTTCCTCAGCGACTTGGAGTCCGCGCTGAAGGGCACCGCCCTGACACGGGACAAGCTGAATGTGCTATCCTACCTGGAGACCATGTGCCCCAACACCGTCGTCGCCAACGTGCTCATCAACTCAGGCCTCATCGTCACGATGATGGACATGATTCGCGACACCCGCAACGCGGCGCTGAAGATAAGGCTGCTGACGGTGGTTGGCATGTTTGTCCGGCACGCAACGTACATTGCTGATGCGGTGGCCGCGACGCCAATACTCGACATACTGACGGAGGTGATCATCGCACTGGCGAAAGTTGGCAGTGAGGGCATAGCGCTTTTACATTCAAGTTCTATCATTTTGACACATCCTTTGTACCTGGTATCGGCCTTTTGAGCACACTTTCATGCTGCTAAACATACTTCGACTTCAGCAGTCCAACGCACATCGAAACCATCTGAAATGTCCATTTTTTGGCGTGTTGGATAGTTTTTATGACATGTGTTTAGGCGTTTCGGCATCATAGAACACTGTCCAGCGAAAGCAAATCCAGCGCAGGCCTGTTGGCGAAGCTTCTGCTTGGAATCCTGCCGAACATGAGTCTAGAGTGCTATATATTTTCCAACGTTTTGTTGATTGGCCAAGTGACTGCAAGCCAAATTGCCATTCTAGTCGCGTTTGCGAGTGATGTAGCAACAGCGACACCTCAGCGGCCCGCAGCATGTACCATCGACTGGCATGCCGCAAAATCAGCCCCGCCTTTTCATGGCCAAACACAAACTCGGTCCCCGAATTTGGAGGGCCTCAGGGCCCTGGTGAGCCACCGTGCACCCACGTGCACGTCAGCTTGCGACACACCATGGCAGTGGACGCAGCGGGAATCTCTGAACCACGAGCAACATGTTGTTCAATGCATCTTGCAAGAGCGGCTCGAATTCAACTCGCGACGGCACCACACGCCAGTAGAAAACGAAACTATTGCGATGCCGACTGCAATGCTATTTGACACTAATTGGTGCCGTCGCAGCTTCTTTTACGCCATCGCAATTAATGCGGTGGCGCCAGTTAATGTCAAAATGGCACCGCAATTCGAATCAGAAGTATGTTTTTTTTTCCGCTGGTGAATTGTAAGGGCCGTGCGGTTTTCATCACTGAACATCGATAACATCGCATTTGAAAAGCCGGCAACTGAAAACAACATGCCACTCCATCGTTGACGGTTTTATGCTAATCCGCCTCTGTGCCCGTCTTCCGCGTTAGGATATCCCGATAAAGTCGGAAACATGATTGTTAGCTTGGAATACATCAGGGATACAAGCTATCCAGGCCTTGGATACATCCATTGTTGCGCTGAACAAGCTGAAGCTGGCCGATGCAGCCGAACTGCGCTGCTAGTTTCTTGTCAGCATGTGCTTGGATCCACAGGCTCTGAGGGACAAGAACGACAAGGTGCGGCGGCGATCCATGGCGGCCCTGGGCGAACTGCTGTTCTACATTGCGACACAGAGCGGCGAGCGGGATTCCGATGTGTTCGCCTGGGTGGTGCCTCCCACCACCACGGCCCTCGTCTCCCGGCTGCTCAAGGCCGGCGAGGACCAAGTGACTCAGCACTACGCTGTGAAGGCACTTGAGAATGTGGCTAGTCAGGGCGGAAGGTGGGGTGCTCGCTTCGCAACGCAGGTGGGGACTCCAACAGGCGCCTTGGCGGCCGTTGAACCCTGTTGATCTGCTTCAAGCAATGGAAGAAAATGGCCCCAATGGCGCGGTCAAGAGAACACGATTTGGTGCCATATTGAGACGGTTTAAGCCTCCAGCCCGCAACGTGGTCGCATCTAAACACAACTTGAAAGCAATGAGCTTTTGAAAAGGGCAACAAATTTCCAGTGAAATGCTCCAAGAACTCGGCTTCATTCACATGAGTTTGCTGCATTTGAGCAGGTGGTGTATTATTGATGCAAATTTTGTCCCTTACCAGCGCTGTTTCTGTGCATCAAGGTAGGCAAATTCATATGCAAATCGGTCAGTATTTTGCTGCCGACGTTCTGAATCTGGTAGCTCCAAATGCGGTCAGGTTTCGTTCCTGGCAACAGCGGCGCTCAGAATGCTTCTCCCAATCGACAAGCACCTTAACTCAGTGTCCGTCAGTACAAATAACGTGTAGATGTACATGCCGCTGCTGAAAGCCGGTTTCACTAAGCTGCCCAATGCTGCGTGGGGACATGGGCAGTGGGCAGATACACAAGCAATATATGTACCATTGCCGTAATGTTGTTTGATTGCTGCGATGAAAGTGCTCTGTCTTACATGACAGACCATGCACATATGTTACTTGGAAGCAATCAATTGTGTGCAGGTGCACGCTGAACAAGATCATTGTCGTTCGAGGCACCAATAAATGGAGCCAATCCAAATGAATAGATGGCTGCCATGCCACATGGATCATTATGCGAATAATACCAAGCTGGTGCCCCGTGAGGCCCAGGATTCCAAGCCAACATGTGCCTTAGTCGACAATTTGCAAACAGACTGGAGGGATACCCCTCAAGCAACTCGCAAAGAGGCCACGGAGAACCCATGGGGGCCATCAGGGCCTGGATGTACGCCAACAAGCGGACAACTGCCTTGTAATCCGCCTAGTTATTCACTCACTTGCGGGAAGCACTCATGAAGCACCATGACCCGTGAGGCCCGCACCCGACGCCAGCCACCTGCCTGCCCACTGACTAGCAAAAACGCCAAGCGAACGTCTAGCAACCGACCCTAATGGACCAGGGACATTTGGTCGAAGGGCCCTGCATTGAGAAACTGGAACAATGCTCGTTGATCGGGCAGATCAACTCATGGCAAGCCATGGGGCTCTGTGGAGGGGCCCGCAGCTGCACAATAGTAAAGGCAATCCCAAGAGGAGTGCTCGTAAGTGGCTAGGGGGATCAGAAGCAAGGGAGAGAGTTCCCAATCTGCTGAGCAACACGCTTATGGAGGGGTGCTCAAGAGAGAGCGCCCCATGGGGACGGATGCAAGAACCATGGACGGGGCAATCGAGACATGTTTCCGAAACGGGGAGAGTCATTCTGGACATAATGACAGGCCATTCCATGGAGGGGGGCCTTGTGCCCAACCCTGCTGGGTGTAACACACATTGTGTGTTCACAGAGCCTGCCTTGACAAAACGCACCGGCTTGACAGCGGACCAGAAGGGGTGCAAGGGGGTGCGAATGCGGGGAATATGATGGCGGGGAGCGTCGGTACCGCTAACTTAGTGGGGCGCTCGGGGGATTTGATACGTGTGCATATTGGACAGGGATTGCCCTATATGCTAGGCTACTGTGCTAGGCTTGGCACGTGGGGGCTCGACTACAATCAAACTAGGGGTCTTATTATAGGTCAGATGGGGTTATTATAGGGTTTTGATGATACATATCAATTGCAAATTCAATTTGCAATTGAATAATAGTGAATTTGTGTTGTTTTAATAAGTTTTGAAGATTCTAAGGGTCTAAAAAGAACAAAATGAGTGGACCCTAAGAAACAACCTTTGTTTTTGATGGTGCTTTAAGGGGGTTTTGAAATAAAGGGCCATGTACTGTTGGGAAGAAAGAATGAATAATATATTTTAGGAATAGCAAAGACTATTGTCAATCGTAGCCTTGAAGGTAGGTTACTTTATGATGAGATATGCATGGATCCCCACATGTTCTACAAGATTTGTTGTGAATCGTAGCTAGGGCAAGTGGACCACCCCTTGCACTATGTCGATTCCAGTTGCAAGGGATAGGGCGGATGGGCGAATGGCCACCATCATAAAGTGGCAGAAGAGTCGCAGCTTCTCCAGTGATCAGGAAGTCAAGGACTCTTCTGACAAAGTGGAGGTATTCCAACAACAACGGCTTGCACAACGTGGTCTGCAAGCTGCAATTTGGTTGGTGGGCAGAGGCATCATTGTTGATAGGCCTTGGAAGAGGGCGAATGATATGCAACCCGCCCTTCTTGAGGAGTGGGATGAGGCACTGCCAAGAGATGGTGTCATGTACGATTTGACTAATGGTGAAGTTGCGATCTTCACCCAGAACTATAAAATGGATGACCTTCCACCGCTTATCAAGTCTGAGATTATATATGGACTTAAGGCAATGGTGTATAGAAAACTAGAGCCAGCCTAGCAGGTGGCCTCAAGGGAGGTGGCGTAGGGGGTTCTCAAGAAGGAAGAGAACGTACCCATTCTCTTGGGAGTGTATGAGATCATCAATGATCGGTTGAAAGCCACGGAGAACTGAGTTGTGAAGGGGCTTTTCAATCAGAGGATGTGTGGACGATTGAACAGGCTTGTGAAAGTGATGATGAAGTTAAAGCTTCGAGAGCACAGAAGGTTGAGTTGTGGCCCATGCCTTATGGACCGATCCACATGGCTTCTTTGACATTATGTGGTGTCCAAGCGCTCAATGATTACTGTGAGTGACAGTGGGAGATCGACTAGTTATAAGCAAAGACGCGGTGAAAGTAGAGATAATGAACTGGTTGGCCAAGAAAGACCAAAGCTACCAATCGGGCTTGAGGAGAGTGCACCATGTGCTGAACGCCATCCACGAGGACCACGGGGCATGAGCGGTATGGCCTGGGAAATCTACCATGTTATGTTGATCAGATTTATCTGATGCCAAGTTCGTGGCCTAGCCATGGCCAAACCTCTTCAGAGGGCATCAGTAGTAGATCAGCAGTGGATTTAGTCGAGTGGGTCAATTCCGATTGATGAAATGGCCAGAAACGCACAAACTAATTGTTATATACCAGTTGCACACAAGACCTGAGTCCCTCCCTTGAGAGGGATGCTCAGTTGGCCTCGCATGTCCTCTCATTAGTTAGTGAGGGGGCCTGGCTGGCTATCACAATTTGTAACCAAACGTAGATTACAGATTGGAGGTCAACAACATTGCCGACCAGCTGATTTACATATATTCTCATGTTTGTTCTCAGCCACATGTCTCACAAAATATGCTCCAAAATACTCCGCACAACCCCTCTCATAATGCCTATAGTGTCATGCACATCAAAGTCTTCGAGCGTTCAAACCCCCATGTTTGTATTGCCCCTACGGACTGCCCAAATCCAATCAAATCTCCCACATACTATTTAGTCATATCATGCACCGATGGTGACAGCTGAAACGTCCCAGCCATGCATACCACGGCTGCCCAACTGTCATCAACACCAAGCAAATCTACTCACAATCTAATCAAATCTGGTATGAAATATATGATCCTATACACTTACCACTCACTCCAACACTCTCTGTGGCCCTTCCAACCCCTATCCACGTCAGCTCCATTCAATTTGATCAACATGGCACTGCAAATTTGCTATACCATGTTGCTTATGCCTAGCCGTCATTATGGATGGCACTTAGCGCTTGGGGCATTCTTCCGAGGCCCAAAGATCGACAGCTTAGGTCTCTTCTTGGCCAGCCAATTCATCATTTCCATCTTGACATTGTCCTTGCTCAACTGGTCAATCTCTCACTAGCACTTGCAATGGTCATTCAGTGCCTAGACAACACATGGTGTCAAAACGCCATAGAAATCGGCCCAAATAGCGTAGACTGAAGCTAGGCCTTCTCCAGGCTTAGAGCCTTGACTTCGCCATCATTTTCATAGGCTTCACCAATCGTCCGGGTTATCCTCTTTTGAAAGAAGCCCTTCAAAACTTGCTTCCCTGCCATCCTCAAATGATCACCACTGATCTCATAAGCCCTCCAAAGAAAGGGCTTATTCTCCTCCTTTCTCAAAATTGCCTGCACCACTTCCTTTGCAGCCACCCTCCAAAGAGGCTCCAATCCTCGATATAGCACTATCTCAAGTCCAAACAGAATTTCCGACTTGAGAGGCGGAGGGAGATCTGACATGTCATAGCTCTGAGGGAACATTACAACCACACCCTTTGTCAGATCGAAAAGAACACTATCCCTTCGGAACACCTCATCCCACTCTCGAAGAAGGGCGGACTGCATATCATTTGCCCTTTTCCAATGCTTGCCAAACATGATACTTCCATTTGTCAACCAATTCATAGCGTGCACACCAAGTTGCACAAGTCGTTGTTGGAACAACTTCAATTTGTCAGAAAACTCCTTAAATTCCTGATGGCTAAGGAAGCTGCGACTCTCCCGACACTCGAGGATGGTGGCCATTCGCCCACTCACCCCATGCCCCATGACCAAAATCGGCATGTTGCAAGGGGTGGCCAGCTCCCCCTTGTAGCGATTTGCAATAGGTCTCACAAAGCATGTGCAGATTTGCACATATCTCATCATCAACTAACATATTCTCAAGGCCGTGGTTAACAAATATCTGAACCATTCCTAAAATATTTTAACTATCATTCCTTTCCCACTATACAGGGCCCCTCAACACAAATTGTCCCCAAACCCCATCAAAAACAAAGGTTGTTTCTTAGGGTCCATCTATTTCATTCTTTTTAGAGGCCCAAATCCTTGAAACTTATCTGGAAAACACAAATTTGGTACCATTCAATTGCACATTGAATTTGCAATTGATATATATCAATTAGCATCTTATAATCACGCCTTTTGACCCGTAATGAGACCCCAGGCTTGACGGAAATCAAGCCCCCATGTGCCAACTAGCGCACAATCGCCTAGCATATAGGGTGATGTGACAACACCTGATTCTTGCCCAATACGCGCACATATCACAAATCCCCCAGGGCGCTCCGCTGAGTTAGCATTCAACGGTACGTGCGCCCCTTGCCATCTCACTCCCGGCACTCGCACCCCCTTGCACCCCCTCCAGCCTGCCATCGGGTCGGCACGTTTCCTCGAGGCAGGCTCTGCAAGCACCCCCCCGGCGGGGGCGGGCGCAAGGGCCCCCTTCGTGGAATGATCTGCTCACTTTTTTTGGAAAGACCATCCCCGTTTCGGAAATGCATCTGGACCGCCCTGTCCATGGGTCCTACATTCGTCCCCGGGAGGTGCTCTCCCTCGAGCACCCCTCCATAAGCGTGCTGCCCGGGCAGATTGGGAACTTTGCTCCCTGCGTTTTGATCCCCCGGCCACTTGCGAACAATCTTCTTAGGATTGTCTTTACTACCGTGTGCTTGCGACCTCCTCCATGGAGCTCCATAAGTTCCCGGTTGAGCTACCCGATCAACATGCATTGCTCTTGTTTTCCAATGCAGGGCTCATCGGCAGGGGCCCCTAGTCCATTCAGATCAGTCACTTGACACTCGCACGGTGTCTTGGCCAGTCGTTGTGCATGTGGGTGGCTGGCGTTGGGTGTGGGCCTCACGGACCATGGTGTTTCCTAAGTGCTCCCCGCGTAGTGGGTGAATAGTTGGGCGGATTATGTGGCAATTGTCCATTTGTTGCCGTTTATCCAGGCCCTAGCGGCCTCGGTGGTCCCTGTGGCCTCTTGGCGAGTTGCTTAAGGGGCATCCCTCTGGTCTATTTGCAAACTATCGACCAAGGCCATGCCGGTGTGGATTCTTGGGCCTCACGGGGCACCAGCTTGGTCGTATTCGCGTAATGATTCATGTGGCACAACAGCCATCTATTCATATCGACTGACCCCATTTATTGGTGCCCCGAACACCGAGCTAACGTGGTTGGGGCCCATGAGGCCCACAAAGAGTGTCGGTGTGAGTGGTACACATATAGGATCCGGGTGGCCTCCTCTAGCATCCTACGGCTGTTCAACCGGTCACTGTCATCAAAATCTAGCATATCTTATCAAATCCGATTAGATCTATCATAGTATCTATAATCTTATACGTGTACCACACATGCTGACACTTTCTGTGGCTCACATGGCGCTTATCCACATCAGCTCAGCTCATTCTGATCAGGGTGTTATCATATACTTGCCACGCCATGCTGCTCGTGCCCAGCCATCCTCATGGATGGCGCTCAGCGCAAGGCACGTTTTCCTCCAGTTCGATCGACGGTTTCGGCCCTTTCTTGGCCAACCAGTTCATCATCTCAACCTTCACCGCATCTTTCACAAGCAGCTGGTCGATTCCCTCTGTCGTTCACGGAAATCGCTGCATGCTTGGTCGATACATGGCATCAATGAGGTCATGGGGATCGGTCCATAGTGCATGGACTCCAGCTGGGCTTTCTTGCCTCTCAGAACTCGAACCTCTTCATCATTTTCACAAGCGTCTTCAATCGTCTGTGTAGTCCCATGATGAAAAATTTCCTTCAGAACTCGATTCTCAGCGACTTTCAGCCGGTCGTTGACGATCTCATAAGCTCTCCAAAGAACAGGCTTGTTCTCTTCCTTTCTGAGCATCGTCTGCACCACTTCCCTTGAAGCGACTCGCCAAGTTGGTTCGAGTCCTCTGTATACCATCACTTCTAGCCCATACAAGATCTCGGACTTCATGATCGGGGGGAAAGTCGACCATTTCGACGTTTTGGGTGAAGGCCATGGCTTCGTCAAGTCGAACAGAACTTGATCCCGCTGAAGCGCCTCCTCCCATTCTTCAAGGAGAGCAGCTTGCATGTCATTTGCTCTCTTCCAAAGCTTGCCGAAGCTGATGCTACCGTCTGTCGACCACACAACGGCTTGCACACCCGGTTGTGCAAGCCTTTGCTGTTGAAAGAGTTCTAACTCCTCAGAAAACTCTTGGACATCTTGGTGGCTTGGGAAGCCACGACTCTTTTGCCACTCCAAGATGGTGGCCAGTCGCCCGTCCGCCCCATCCCCCACTGTCGGAAACGACATGGCGCAGGGGTGGCCAGCTCGCCCTGGTCACGATTTGCAACAGATCGCGCATGCCATGCGCAGATCTGCTCAAATCTCATCATAAACTACCCTATTAATAAGGTTACAATTGAAAGCAGCCTCCACTACCTAAAATACATTAACCACTGTTTTTTTTTCCAGCAACACCTAGCTTTTCAATCCTAAAAACCCCCAAAAGTCCATCAGAAACAAAGGTTGTTTCTTAGGGTCCACTTATTTTGTTCTTTCTAGGACCCTAGATTTGCCAAAACTTATTAGAAAAACATAAATTTTGTACCATTCAATTGCAAATTGAATTTGCAATTGATCTGTGTCATCAAAACCTTATAATGATCTTATCTAGATCATAATGGGGTCCCTGGCCTGACTGCAATCAAATACACATGTGCCAGGTCGCGTCCAGTCGCCTAGCATACAGGGCGACGTGACAGCGCCCGATTCCTGCCCAATACGTACGCGTATCGCAAATTCCCCCGGGCGCCCCGCTGAGTCAGCGCTCGACGGTACAGGCGCCCTCCACCACCTCACTCTCCGCACTCGCACCCCCTTGCACCGCCTCCGGCCCACCATCGGGTCGGTGCGTTTCCTCGAGGCAGCCTCCGAGAGCAACCCCCCCCGGCAGGGTTGGGCGCAATGCCCCCATCCGTAGAATGGCCGGCTCGTTTTTTCCGGAAAGATCCCCCCCGTTCCGGAAACGCCTCTGGACCACCATCGCCATCCATTCCCGCATCCACCTTCAGGGGGTGCTCTTTCTCGAGCACCCCTCCGTAAGTGTGCTGCCCGGGCAGAAAGGGAACTCTGCCCCTTGCCTCCAGATCCCCCCGGCCACCTCCAAGCAATCCTCTTGGGATTGTCCTCGCCGCCGTGCGGCTGCGACCCCCTCCGCGGAGTCCCATGGGTTCCCATGGGTTGAACTGCCCGATCAACGGGCATTGCTCCGATCTTTTGACGCAAGGCCCATCGGCAGGTGCCCCTGATCCATTCGGGTCGGTCGCTTGGCATGCGCGCAGCGTTTCAGCCAGTCGATGGGCATGCGGGTGGCTGGCGTTGGGTGCAGGCCTCACAGGCCATGGTGCTTCCTGGGTGCTTCCCGCGCAATGGGTGAATAGCTGGGCGGGTTTACGTGACAGTTGTCCACCTGTCGGCGTACATCCGGGCCCTGACGGCCCCTGTGAGTTCCTTGTGGCCTCATGGTAGGCTGCTTGAGGGGTACCCCACCGGTCTGTTTGCGAACTGTCGACCAAGGCCAAACTGGCCTGGAATCCTGGGCCTCACGGGGCACCAGCTTGGTAGTATTCGCATAACATTTCTTGTGGCATGGCAGCCATCTATTCATATAGATCGGCTCCATTTATTGGTGCCCCGAACAGTTCCTGATATGAATACCAAGAGGCATTACAAGAGGAATAGTAGGGAATCTTTTGAAGCATATTCTGTGGGATGTGTAGACAAGAGCTCACGTGAACTTGTATATAATCCGGCAAGCTGGCAATGTAGGCCGCTCTCGATCTGCAAACACTTAGGTTATGGGCGCTGCAGCTAGCCAGGCCTCCTCATTAGCTGAGGAGAGGACCTACGAGGCCAAGTGAGCGTCTCTTTCAAGGGAGGGACTCAGGCCCTGTGTATGATTGGCGTGAGACGATCGGCCTGTGCGCTTCTGGCCGTTTTTTCGCTTGGAATCGACCCCGCTTGAATGAATTCAAGTAGATTTTTCACTGCTGCCCTCTGGAGAGGTCTGGCCATGGCGAGGCCACGAACTTTACACTATGGAAATTTGGCACAGTTTTTGTGATGCCCTTGTGAATCAGAATCGTTAGTGCAATGGCACCAATCCCAATCGCGCATTGCATTTGTTTCATATAACCCTGCAAATGTTGGTGTGCTGGATGAGCAACACCTTCTCAGCTCTATATCCACACCCGTATTTTCTGCTTTGGATACTCTTACAACGTTTCTAGTCAATCTGTAGTTGACATGCAATTCGTTGAGATTTGCCCGCTGCCACCTGTTGCGATGGTGCGTGCTCCATTTCTGATATCTGCAACTAGCAGAATTCCATTTGGCGATGCCAATTGTGATGCCAACATTGCGCCAACGATGCCATCACAGCGATGTCAATGGCAACAAAGTTACTGCGGTGGTGCAATTAATGTGAAAATGGGATAGCATCTGGCATCGGCAGCGTGGCGTTTTGATTTGGTGTGCACTGGCGCACCAGGGCCCTTGGCGCAGGGAGGCTAGAGTGTAATCTTGATTCGCAATTGAATGCATGAACACAACTAGCATTGTTCAAATTCAATACTATGCTTCCAATTGACGCAAATATGATGGCGGACTATGTCCCAGTATCGACAGTATCAACAGCTTATTCGCAATGCACTAACAAACGCGACACCAGAAATGGGATCAATATAGCATGATTGGTTCCAATCTAGCCAAGCTCTCAAGGCTCCGATGCGCGATTTGTTCCAGTTCGAATAAAATTTAAAGATAATTGTAAACTGCCTGAAATGGATATGCCTTGCCAGTGGCAAACAATGAGGATTCTCGCCCGCAGGACGTCATCCACCACCTGGCGCAACTGTTCACAGCCGTGCGCAAAGATCACTCCAAGTCCACCAGCATCGACCACATGCGAACGACGTGCCTGTCCACCATATCCCGCCTCCTCAGGAACAACCGCCAGCTCGTGCCGGCGTTCGTGGAAAAGTACGGCCTGCGGCTGGTGGCGCCTTGCATTGTCGAGACCGGCAACATTAAGGTTCAGACCGTGGCGGTGAACATTTTGAATCTGGCGCTCTGTCAACAGGAGTTGAGTTCCCGCACACGGTCGTGGCTCACAGAGGAAAAGAATCTCGTCAGGATTTTGGTGGGTCTGCTGGACCATCCAGTGCAGGTGAGGTGAGAAAAGTGGAGGATGCAGCAGCTGTCGTAGACATTGTCTGATGGATAAGGACAATATGCAAGCAAGCATGTTTTCTCAATGCGATGATCTGTGCTCGCATTTTGTTTACCAGAATTTGTTGGGCGTGACGCGTGACAACGCCCTAAGTCTCCAGACTAGGAGACACCTTGACAAGACAAAGTTATGCAGCTCGCGGCTCTGTTAAGAGCGCTGAAGGTCACCCATAGCGACAAGCGTCGTTGATTGCAGCGCTGCAATTAGCGGTTGTCGCTGTGTCTAGTGCCTGCCCAGCATTTGGGCCGAATTTCAATTTTAACAAAGGTGGGTAGATCGATTGGCAATTGCGAGCGCAATCTCATGTGTTATTTAAAATCGCGTTAGAACCAGTAGATGCGACATTTTGCGATGCCATTTTTTTATGTCATTCGATGCGTATTGGTGCCGTCGCAATTGCTGTGATGACACCGCTTAGTGTGAGCATGCATCGCGGTTGGCGCCGCAAAATGTGATTCTCTTTTAATAGAGCCGAACGGTGCACCCTCGGCCTCAGTGCCGGTCCTAAGAAGTTCTTGTTCCAGCCCTTGCACAGGGCGAAGCCTGCTTGTCGCAACGCGTTTGGGACTTGTACTGCGTGGCACATTGGTGTAGTGTAGCCAACCGCCCCATACATGTGGCCAACGTCCATTGTCTTCTCTTCATTCAACATTAGAGCCCCAACAACTGGCGACATCGCCCAATTCCCGCATCGCAGGGGGCTGCACCGTCGCAGCTCCGTAGCCCCGGGAATCGGTGGGGGAATTGGGAGCCATGCCAACGCCGCCGACGGCCCTGGCGAACCCCAACCCCCCTTGCGATAAATTCTGGCGCCCCTGCTCACGCCCGGCTATCCTCCCAATCCCTCCCTGCTACGTCGCAGGGGCTGCGACAAACCCCTGCGGTGTCGCAGGAGATTGGGTGTTTTCTCTCATTTAAGTACTTTGAAGTGCCAGAATACGATCTTTCTAAATTCACATGTACGTAAAACTTTGACTGAACAGCCAGTGGTAGTTTGCTAGGTAAGCCTGTCGTGGCTTATTTCAATTATAGGAGCAATTTCATGGTTTTTGGCGCCACAAGTCTGGAACGCTTGCAGGCCAGTAAAACCCAATTTAGCGTTCAGCATGGCGGCAATTTGATGTGCTGCATCTTTCCAAAACATGACAGACAGATCCCTTGAATTTTTCAGGCGGTGGAATGTACAGAGGGTGAAATGCTCAAGCTGCGTTTGCTCGACATCACCAGAGCTTTCCACAGCACAAACCCCAGTTTCGGGGCGCAAGAGAGGGTGGCATAGAATCCAAAAATCCCAGAATCGATTGAGGCGCCGAATGCAAAATAGGTAGAAAGAAAAGCTGAAGAACTCTTGTCTCTTGACTCCCCACGGCGTCCCTCCCACCTATGCGTCGCACCGCTCCTTCGCTGCCCTCCGAACCTGTTAGATTACGAAGGCCCACACGGATCAGTGTGAGAGTCTCCGAAAGAAATATTCGTACATCCACCTGTAAGAGCTAGCAGGTGAGAGCGCGCTCGCGTGACGAAATTTCTGTTGCGGCGACGCCGCTAAGCCTTTGCCAACACGGTAGCGCCGCCACCTGGCCAGGTGGCCGTTGTCCATCGACAACGGCCGGAATGGTGTGAAGATGGCGACTCTTTGCCTGCGTTGCGCCATTCGCTCGCTGTGCAACAATAGCTTACCCTTGACTTCGATTCTATCACCACTTCTCAGTGGCATGATCTGAGCTCGGGTGCTGTGTCATACAAGCTTAGTATGTAGGTACATACTGAACCTCTGTACATATATGTATACATACATGGGACATTCAAAACGCATCTGGAATAAACACCGATGAGCAGGTCCTGTCTTTAGGTACTGAAAATTAAGGGAGTTGCCTCAATTATGCTCCTGGCTGGGCACTCTACCCGATGGCTGGCGGAAGCGTGCGAGAACCGGTTCATCTCCGCACTCGAGAGGTTTCAGAGAGAGCAGGGAGGCCAAATGCAGAAGACCATGTGCGCTGCTAAGCAGGAGATCGCCCGTGCTGTGGATGTTGTTATATCCCAGGTAGCGCCACAGCCCACAATTGGCGTCCATGGCGTGGCCATCAGCCTCCTGAACATTGTTCACAGGCATGCCGCGCACGTGTTTGACTTGGTAGCCGCACATCGCCTGTGGTGCACAGAATTCGCTGTGTCGAAATGCCCATGGATGCGATCGATGGAGAGGTTTTCGCCGTCAACGTCGTTGGCTCTTCTATTGCCAGACTCACGTGAAGAATGTGCGCCAATCCTGGGGCATATTCAATGCAGCTTATCTACAACAAGAATGCCATAACAATTGCCAAGGAATTTCAAACAGTTGTGCCTTAGCCGAGCATTTGCACGTCTACAAGCACAAGCATATGTTCCTGTGGGATGAAGATCGAACGCTCCTATTGTGCAGGGCGTTGGAAAGCATGTCCCCCTCCCGCTGATCAGTGAAGGGACTCGCCACTGTGTGCTGCACCAAGCGTTGCACATAAACTACATTTGGCTTGTGTGCAACACACGGTCTTAGCGCTGCGCATGGGCATAGCGTGTCTTTACACATGCATGTTGCCTGAATCTGTGGAGCTATCGATCGAAGCGACGTTGCGAGGCGCGACGCGCTTGAACCCGGCACCCTCAGTCTCTTGACACGCATGCTTCGCATCAGATCAGCGCCGAGCTCGAGAAGCTGACTGCTCGAAAATTCTCCTCGACCAGCGGCTCCTCCCGCGGCAACCACCGCAGCGGCCCACTGGCCCAGCTCGACATCCTTCAAGCCGCCCTGCTGTCCCCCATTCTGCGCAACTGCGTGGTGTCTCCACAACTCATATCGGAGCTCGCTTCTTTCGTTAGGCTGGTGAACACGCCCGGTGTCTCGTTCTCCGGCATCGCGGAGTTCAAACAATCGCTCTTCGCTGCACTGGAGTCCCTTTGCCAGGTATGCCCCGCGGGTCTTGTCTGATGAATTGCGCCGGTGCATGCGTAGTGCGTGGAGTTGCGGCCGACGATCCGTTATTGCATTCAGGCCGCTCCGCGCCGGAGCTACATTGCATGTAATGCGCCAGGCTGCAAGCGCTCCAGGTCCGTGGAATTGGACAGCATCAGTTTTATTGAAGGGCTGAAAAGGGGTGCTCGACGTCGATGCGTGCGTGCGAGTATGCTCCAAGTCTCGCGGCAAATTCGGAGCAGCTGCGAAAGGTCTCTTGGCCATGTCAAAAGTTATAGATTTTGCACAACGCCAATGCGATGCATCAAAATGGCCATATCCGCAACTTGAACGTAACGGCTCGGCAGCCTTGAGCCGCACACAGAATTAATTTGGCTTTTCATAGATTGAACAATCTCTGCGCACTCCAATGTCGAGCGCCTCCTCGTTCGCGTTCCTCAGGAATTTTGAAATTTCTGAAGCACAGGAAACGGGCAACACGAGCTGGGGGAACCCGAGGTCAATGTCGTCTTAACCCTCTTGCGCTTTTCACATCGAATTCGCTTACCGTTCTGGTGATCCACCTTCCGAATGGCGAATGCCAGACAGCAAATACCATATGTTGCAGTCGCAGTCGAGAACCTCCGTTGGTTATCTCTTCAGAAGAGAGTGACAGAATATGTCACGAATAGGATTGTTGACGCCGTTCCCGCACGAATTGTTGCAGCTGCACGCTGACGCGCAATATTGCATCAAGCGCGTGTTCACCTGTAATTATGCCTGATCTCTGCCACGTGTGACGCAACCAGGCCTGTTACCTATGTTTACGATTCCATTTTTGCAGCCATATTTGCGCATGTTTACAGTTCGCCGGCACGCCAACATCACATCCTATGATGTCCCAATCAACGATCAATCCTCCACTTTCTCCAGCACTGGTCAGCAAGGGCAACGACGTCGCCAATCAAAAGATCATTTCATGCATCTTTCATGCACCTCAACGCGTCTACCTGCCACTCCCCGGGCTCCCTGAGTCCGTATGTACTGTATTGAAATAGGCAGAGCCCATTTTTACTCCTTTTTCTTGCTGTTTATGCATAAAGCTTAAAAAAACATTTTGCGCGTAAATCGCCGTAAATGGGGAAGTGTTTTCGCAGCAAATGACAAGCTTGGCCGCAACCAGCAAATCTGTTTACAAAAACCACTACTTCCACACATTGAAATCTGCGCATGTGCTCGTGTTGGTGTGCAGTTCATTGAAATTCAGATGGATCACTGCTTCCCCCTCGTCAATCACATTTTCCCGGCACTCATTACCACGGCGCGTTGCTCTTCCGAGTCCAAAGATATGCGATTCCTTTGTTTCAGCCTGTTCAGGTGAGCCATCACAGCCCCGTGCCGCTGACCCATCATTCGATCCAATGATAGGTTGATAATCGTGGCTGCTTCGGAGCACAAACAACTTCGGATTATCCTCTACCTTGCTCCAGTAAATGTGCACACCGCTCACTATTTACCACAAGGAGTCTGTGAGCCATTGTTTCTTTGCGCCAGAAGAGCAATCACATCCTGAGACGTGCGCCTGTCCGGATGGCTTGTGCCAAGAATTTCATGACACCTTTCATGGCATTTGGCTCCGTCGGAAAGTGCGATTATGCAAAATCTCGTCGCAACGCTCGTTTGCGTACCGTTGTAGGGAAAGTGGTGTACACAACTCCCCAATTATGTGAGTGTACTCAAAATGCTGCACGTTCTGAGTTACATCCACGAAATGCACAGCAGGTATGGGTATAAGGAACTTCTCGGGAACTCAACCTTATCTATCTTCCAAAACAAGTAGCTGTTGGCCTTGAGTGCATCTTAAGCATTGATATCTCCTCTCTGGCACACGATTCAACGCTGTTGTCCATCAGAAAATCGGTCTGCGATATTGTGCATTGTGTACTTCTTCTTCTCCCGCCTGGTTGCATTCATCATCATTTCTCTCACCCTTGTGGAATTCGATGACATCGACTCGGTGCAAAGCTGATACGTCAGTACAGTATCTGAAGGAAGCTCTCCTCCATGGATGTACGGCGGCTCACCACAAACATCGCGTTGAGCGATTACGACCACCGCGTCCACAGATACAATGGATTCATTCAATAGGTGTTACCTCCCATTCACGCTCTTTACTGACAAATACACGAAGAAACACACAACGCATGATGGCCCTACACAGGCCTTTAGTAAACGCAGAATCAGCCGTCGAATTGCGGCAAATTAAACTGATAATTCAATTGAGAATTAGATTCGGTATCAATTTTTTTTTGTTGGTGTGGCAACTGAGCACCGCTGTCACATTCCCCAGCGACATGCTCCTGAACTACGTCGCTGACACCCGAATTTACGGCACTCACGGCGCTCACGGCTCCTGCAAGGAGGCCATTGATGCCGTCCTGGCGCATCACTTTACGCCAGTACTACCAGATTTGCTGCGAAGCGACGACGCCCTGGTGCCACTGTGTCTCAAGGTATAATGCCTATGTCCACAGTACTATCCATGGGTGCACACGTATGTCTGTAGTTTTCCTTGTACCATTAGTATATCTGAAGTAACGTGTTCATTATGGAACTTGTCCGCGCAACCTTTTTCTCTGCGCGAAGATGCGCATTTCGGACGGCGATTGGACTTGATTTTCAAGCAAAATTTAATGCAATGTCCACCATGACGGGCGTCCTGATTGTCACCGGAACTTTGCAGGCTTTGCACTATGATGCAAGAACGATGTGTATGATTCAAGCGCAGCAAAAATGCAAGAATGAGCGACCCAACATGCTTAGATTAGATATCATGATGTTTCCCCATTCCAGCGCATTTCCCATCACCAGCGCATAGTCGTCAAACGCCGAACGAAATTGCGTAAAACGGGTGTAACTGCTTGTTTTCAGATTGCAACTTTTCAAACTCAGGACTCAGGCATGATGCACGTTGAGTGGCCTGGAAGCGTGAGCGCTCTCAGTACCATTGCCATGTCATACGTTCACTGAATCCAATTTGAGATTTGCAGCGCCGATTGCGATGATGTGGACTCAAGAATGTTGCGGCTGAAATGCCCCAACGCTGTCCACAGCCCTTTATGTTACGGTTTGTACGAGGCGCAGTGCCCAGTGCTTTGTACATAGGCCTGTTTGCCCCCATGGCCATGGCGCATTGTCACGGTACTGCTGGTATAGCACGGGCGGTGACATGCACATATTTGTCATGACACCATATGGAGGAGATCTTCTTCTTATTGTTCTGTTTGCCCCGACAGGTTGCTCTTGCTTTCTTCCTTGTGATTCGCGGCCCTCGCTGTCTGTTTGGGCCGAAGGATGTGTGCTGCCATTGAAATGCACCCCATCAAGGGGGACATATGCTGCGATTCAGGTGGTCAGCTCCGTGCTGGAGGCGCGGCCGAGCTTCGTGGTGCAGCTACAGGACGTGGGGGTGTTGGCCAAGCTCTTCGATTTCTTGTCCGCGGAGCACGTCTGCAACAACTCCCACAGCATCAGACTGTGCCGGAACCTCGTCACCCACACGACGGAATTGCCAGAATTCCTGCGGCAACTGGACGTGGCTGACAAGGTGCGTCGCGAATGACGCATCGGCGGAAACTTCCGCGCTTCGCTCGAGTTTCTCATGAGAATGTGAATTCGTTGCTCGTCTTCATCATCTAGTGCTTATCCTTTGTTGCCACGAACACGCACATTCCTGATAGGTGTTTATAGGCAATGTGTGTCATAATGGAACCAAGCTCTGCGGCCTCACTGCTTTTGGTTTGAATCCCACGCATGCGACCCTGCGCGTTGGGTTAGAAACTTTTGATAACGCATTGAACCCACTTGAAGAATGGTAGGTTTGGTGCGGGTCGCATTGAGACCTGACGTTGGCTCACAATCAGCAAGTCTCGCTAATTGATGAAAATGGAGGTACGATTGTTTGAACCGTGTTACTCAACGAAACAATCAAAAATAGACACTAAAATTCGCAAGTTGTGGAAAAGGGAACAAGGATAAGTACGGAGCATCGGGCATGTACGAACCAATTTGTTAAAATGGACAGAAACAATGATCTGCTGAGTGCTTTTAGTGCCACTTTCAACCAGCGACCAACCACTATGGCGCAGGATGTCTGGGCAGGTTGCCGAGTGTAGTGCTGAATTGCAAATGATGAGACGAACAAATGATGGACTTTCTAGTATGCATATTCCGGACTAAGTCACGAAGTCTCGTCTCCATTGCTATCGATCAGCAGGCACTCACAGAACACAGACCCTGGATATCGATGGCCATGGCGTCTGCTTGGCGTTCAATGCCACAATTCCCGGACATCTAAGCTTTGGCTGGACTGCTTCCTAATTCACCGCCTCATTGCAGCATTCAGCTTCTTGCATTGTACAAAATGAAAGGCATCGCAGCAGTGTCCCGCTGTGTGTGATTTGTGGTTGTTAATCGTGGAAAACAAGTCGATCGCGAATTTGTTACAATTGCAGCACCAAAAGAACAGGAAAGCATCATGGAGATGATGATTCCACACACTCCGTCACCAATGGATTCAGCGATGTCACCTGAAAACGCGTGTGCGCGTGCTCCCAGGCTCACTCCGTATTTTCCTGGGCTTACAGCAAAGCCCAGACGCAGTTCTTCGAGCCTCTCGTGGATTTGCTGACCGTTGTCACGCAGAGGGACGCCGCTGACATCAAGGGCGGCGTGCCTGGGGCGGGCCTGTCAGACGTATTCATCCACGACCTGGACGCCCTTCTGGACTTGTGCGAATACGAAGTCGAAGCGGTGGCCGTCAATGCTTCCGCATGCGTCCTGACGCTCGTAAGTCTGTATGCCGCAAGCGCACGTGCTGCATGGTAGCATGCATGACATGCCCCAACTGCATGGAAGCCAGCTTTCCAGGCAACCTCGGCGTGTTTGTTAACTCATTTTGGAGTTCCACGGCTCCGCCGTAGTTTCCACAGTTCAGTGTGTTTTTATGCTGCAATATAAGTTGATGCTAAAGCGGTGGATTTTCAGTGACGTTCGTCAATTTTCGGCCTAGCATTGGCCGTCCACCTACAATGGAGGCTGCATGGACATTCATGAAACAGCGCGAGCTGAGCAGCCAATCAATAGTCAGCGAAACAGTGCGTCAAAATGTAAGCTGTGTGATTCACGCAGTATACGCTTGCGAGCAGTAGGTGGCCCGCAGCAAATTTTCTTGTTCCAAGATATTACGTCACATTCAGGTCCAACCGCCTCTCCCGCTGTCGTCATCTTAAGTACCCTGTCATACAGTATCGACACGTAATCTCAACCTCTATTTCTCAATATACTATTTTTCCACGATCTCGAGCCAGAAGCCGCGGCATCATTGTCGACATTCTTCAACGCGCTGCATTGCTCTTGTGATCGCAACATATTGAACATGTTATTGATCACATCAAACATGCAGCAACGTGTCCAATGCAACTGTATTGAATGCGTTGTATGCATTGAATACATTCAATGCATTCATATTCATCATGTACAAACAGTAGCTGCTATACAGTGCATTGTTGCACTGGCGATATGCTACATATTGAACACGTCATGTGGACGGTGACGCCAGGCCAGGTCGTTCCCCCGCCAGTGCGCCGACACGTGCTTGAAGGGCAAGATCGAGACCCTGCAGCTGTTCGCGCACCTGTTCTCCGCCTCCCGCGTGCCACACCGCGTGACGCACAATCTGCTGCTGGCGCTCACGCACTTCGCCTCCCTGCGGCCCAACCCGCGCGCCGCCCCCTCGCCGGACATACGCCGCCTGGCGGACTGCGTCTCGCGGCTGGAGGCCGGCGGAGACGCCGAGATCGGCAACCTGGCGTCCAGCGTGGAGTCCATGCTGACGGAGGTGATGCAATGATCACCATCACTACGATGACCACAACGATCGCTATCACTGTCTGCGGATATGGCAGGTGCGGCGAGCACACACGGTTCATGTGCATTGCCTGAGGCAGTGTTGTCGTGGATTGTCGCTCCAACGGTGGCGGGAAGAGAAGACGCCGGGGGATTGTGCGGCCGCTCGTGCTGCGAAACCGCTGACTCATTTGGGATGGGAGCGGCCCTGACCTGGACCGGCAGCCCACTTGCCCGGAACGGGCTTTGTGTTGGGCGGCAAAGTGTAGGGTTCAGTCACGAGTTCGTACCGGAGTTGCGTAAGGCTTTCTGAGGGTTGCGCCGCACGTAAAGTGGCCGTCAGATGCCCATTTCATCCGATCTTTTCATCACGAAAAGCTGCAAGGGCTGTGGGGAGGAGGCGCTGATTTTCGCCGCTGCTGGATTCTATGAGTGTGCTTGTTGAATGTGGTTGGGATGTGATGAGATTGTGTGTTGGACGTGAGCGCAGTGGGCTGAAATGTGTGCGGTATGCCTCTCTGCCTGCGGTCGGACACTTGGGAATCCGGGTGTGACACTTGCATTTCCGGCTCTGACCGCGCTTTGCAGCATGCGGCCGTGAGGTGCCTGGAGCCCGATGGAGAGACATTTGGCACAGCCGCCCTGTTATTTTCGCCATCGGTAGCGAGGGGCGTGGCACCTGCACTGGCGAGATTGTGAGCAAATGGGTTTGGGGGGTGCGTCGGATTTGGGTCGTGGGATGAAAGTGAGAGGAGTGGAGAGCTATATGTGCGTGCACAGTGCACAAATGATTTCAACATCCAATTTTTGTGCAACGCGTGCTATGTGAGTGTTCCTTTATGCAAATCGCATATGTACTCATCGTATGGCACACCGCGAAATGGGATTTCTCCTTGCCAGGCAGGAAACAATACAGGGATGTGAGACAATGCAATGATTCGTGCGTTTGCGGTGCAATGCGAGCCTGATGCGCATCCCCTGGAGAGATCACGTATTCTGCTTCTCCCTATCTTCGGTTCTTTCCCTTGAACTCGTCGCTTCATCGAAGCTGCTGGGGCCGCTCAACCTTTCAGGCAGTCAATATCGTTGTCGAAAATTTTATGGAGACATCGTATCGGAGCTTTATCAGCACATTGATAGGCCTCGGTGAAATTTAGCAGTCCTCGTAATGTGCGTTGTGAATGTTTTTTTATAATATCAAACACTGGCAGTTAGGCAAAGAGCAATGCCATGACACTAAAGAATCCGTCCGCAGTCGAACCCCCCAGAGTGCAGTCGTCCACCGCAGCGTTTAAATGCTTTGATTCCGTTCATCAAACTGCTGCAAATCCATTTGCAGAGGTTTGCATATGTGCATATAAGGCCATGCACTTTCAAGTCAATGTGGCGTATGGCCTCACCCACAATGCCTCCAACACGATTCTCAGAACCCTACATCTGCGAGAATGGCCCCATCGTGCTTAATAGCCGGCCGGAATTTCTGCGAGGTGCTGCAGGCGCTGCGAGCGCCCGCACCTGCCGGCGTGCAAAGCGAACAGGCGGCCAAAAGAGAAGCATCGCCTTCGCTTGCCGACTCCGAATCCCTGATTGCTGCGTTCGCCGTCAACGCCCTGCTTCCCCGGAATGAGAAGCACCGCAAGCTCCAAGCCCTGGCATACCGCAGATCGGAACATCTCGAAAGATGCTCGTCCGCCATTGCGCTCATTGTCCAACTCCGAAGTGAAAATACTTTCTAGTTACGCAAGGGACAAGTTCGATTCGGGTTACTTTCATTGCTGATCCCCCATCCCCGGAGTTCTGGACTTTACCATCTGAGACTGAGCATTCCTTTGCAATATAACGTGGCTTTACATCGCCTTGCACTGTCTCGCTGGGCGGCACAAGGTCCGCATATCTTGTGGCAGGACGGGGTTGGCACCTGGACACCGAAATGCCGTTTAACATTTTGGAATCGAAAGCAGTTAGAAAATCGCATCTGAGCCCCGCCCCCAGCCGCCCCCCAATATGACGTCCCTCCAACAAGAGACCACAAGCGGTCGATTGGAAGCCCGCATCATGATTCGGTCCTGCGTCTGCCTCCCCCGGCTCCAGCGGTTGGCAACTCCCGTCAGACCCGGCGGCGACGCGGTCAAGCTCGCCCGGCCCCGGCGGCCCCGCCATGGCCTTCGGCTGCCTGGCCGGCCTGTGCGGCAGGGCCGGCGACTCCCGGCCGGGAGCCGGCGGCTCAGAGGCGTCGGAGACGGCCGTCAGGGCGGCGCCGGAGAGCGGCGCATTGACTGCCGTGACCGAAGTCACCTCCGCGGCAGCCGGGCGGGAGGGCGATGGGGCGGAGGGGGTGGCGGTGGAGAGGATGGGGGGCGGAGGAGAGAGGGCGCTGGCTGGGGGTCAGGTGAGGGAGGTGGGGTTCGCTCTTAGCGTCGGACGCCATCTGCGTGTTGTGTCTGCGTCTGTGTTGAGTCTATGTCTGTGTCGTGTCTGTGCTGTGTTTGAGTGTTTGGTCGTGTTTGTGGCGTTGGGATAGGAGAGCGGTTTTTTGTGAAGTAAGTTCGCCTTCAAGGGGGGGTCTTGCGGGGATTCGGGGCGTGCTTGGGCTTTTGGTGGCCGTATGAATGCCAGTTAGACGTCCGTCGAGCATGAGTGGAATCTGCGCCGCGGCAAATGTGCTGTTGCTGTAGGAGACAGTGGTTTTTCACGCGCGGTGGAGTCGGATGTTACCAATGACCGCTTAGCAACTCAGGTTGACAAGGAGGAGGATCATAGCGATGCAGTCCAGGGGTGAAATTTCTTCTTGAGCCTATCAAGGTTTGCTTCGTCATTCCATCACGTAAATGCTTCCCCTGTGCGTTTGTAATTTGAAACTGCGACACTTTCCCAGAGGCTCCTTTCATCAGTGTATCACCCTGTACAGCGGCCGTGAATCACCTGTCCTTAAAACTTCCCAGAAAATCGGTCCCAAGCCGCTTTCCATTTCGCCGGTGGTCGATATTCACAATGTATCAAAAAATTAGCACATTAACGTGTTGACATTTTTTGAAGGCACAATGCAAGCGCAGTGCAGCAACGATGCAATCAACAACGCACTCACCATACACTCCAAGGAACAAGTATTGCACGCTATGAACATGCAGAATCGAAAAATTTTAGCGGCATTGCAGGAGACGGGATACGACCCAGGCGCGTCGAAAGAAGACGCTCACGCGGCTGCCACATCCCCCACACTCCCTGGCGCGACTTCAGGTGTCAGAAGCCCACCGCCCCTTGCCATAGAAACGCCCAGGAGTGACGACGCCACTGTTCCACCCGATCCAGACCAACGGGGCCAGGAGCACACCCTTGCCTCCCCAACATCCTCCACTCAGCCTCATCACGGTTCCGCACCCGAAGGCGCCGAACTGGATGCCGGGTCCTCCTCGGACCCAGTGTCCTTCCTGAGGACGGTTGTGCGCGACGTTCAGCGGTGGCAGTCGCAGGTGAGGCATCATTGTCGGCATGTTTGAATAGCACGGATGCAAACCGCTGTCGAACGGACAACGTGCATGAGCACAAAACGGGCAGCGGTCTTGCATGTGCAATGGCAATGCATGATTACTCCAGCCTCGGTTGTATTTTCCGCGTCTTTGCGACACAAAATTTACCCTCAGAATCTACCAAGTCGATACGATGTTAAGCTGCAGTTAGGCACACAAAAGTCTCTATTTTCGCAAACCAATTTATTTAAAGACATTCCCCAGTCGCGATGCTCAGCTAGTTCCGCTCCCTCGCCTGCGCGCATACCTGCATGCGCACATGCAAAAGATTTTTGAGGCATCCGGCGCATTTCCACCTTGCCAAAATCGGCCAAATGCACGGTTTCGAACCGCGCAAACACCGTGTAAAATTTTAGACATTTTACATGACTTTTACACGGCCTGGCATGGCCTAAAACCGCGCGAAAACGTGCGCAGATCATGTACACTCACTCAATCGTTACTGTACGGTTTAATCCCTATTTCATACAATAAATACACGCTTTGAGATTATTACCACGATTTTCAATCGTGTTACTCGCTACACGATTTTCAACCGTGTTAATTGCTACACGATTTTCAATACCATGTATTTTGGCCTGCGTTTCATCAGTGTTCCCCAGACGTAATCAAACGGCTTGCCCCTAGGTGAGGTCCGCCTGCGGGCCCCCCTCCACGGTGCAGGAGGACCTGCTGCAGGACACTCAGCGCCGCAATGCCGACCTGCTGTCCCAGCTGGAGTCCCTGGCCGCGTCGCTGGCGGCCTCCCAGGCCGAGGCACGCCACCTTAAGGCCATCGCCCGCAACTTGGCGAGGGAGAAGCTGCAGCTGGAGGGGGCGGCCAGGGAGGCGGATCGGCGCCACGGAAGGGAGTTGTCCGCCCTGCGGCGGAGGGTGGGCGAGCTGGAGGAGCAGGTGGGGCGGCTGGCGGCTGCCCCGGCGTTGGGCAGTGGGGCGGCGCCCTCCAGGCAGGTGGGCGTGCTCGGATTTGCAGACTTCGGGTGCATTGCTGGTGCGCATTTGAATGAAGTTGGAACTTGATTCCAATGGGGAGGGATGGTGGGTCAATCCAGGATTCCACAAGAGCAGTGCAATATTTCCCAGGTCTCGTTGCGAACAGTAGAAATGCGGAGCAGAGTGTCGAGCTCTGCACATTGTCGCCCAAAATACCGAAATTGGACGCAGAAGAAAGTTATCTGTCAATTGAATAAGAGAATGCATGCAGAACATGAGCCCTCAACTCAAGCCCGCCAACAGCATCGCGTGAATGTCAAGGCAAACTTTCGACGACTGTACAAAGGGAAAAGCCCGCGCGGTCCCGCTGGTCAATCTGCATTGACTGGATCCGCGGAGACATGATGAGCAAATTCTTGTACACGCACTGGGCGATGAAATGCGTTCCGGTTTTCACCTACGAGCTTTTGTGCCCCCCACTTTCCAGGTCAGCGAAGACCAGACGATCGCCTCGGCGATTGTGCCCGGGGATTCCCCACGGGGC